ATATTTTACCTTGCAGCGTCCCAGAAACTTAGTTGTGGATTAATTTACAACAGCTCACAGTTGTTAAGTATTAATAAGAAAATGTTAAGAGTGACATGGTTTTGACTGCAGCAATGTTCTTCCTGAGACGTTTGAAGGGATTTTAATCCAGTTTTTCATCTGGAGGTTCATGTCAGCCTGAATTTAACAGCTGAAGCGTCATGATGAAGGTCTGCAGCAGACACGCCTAGAAACACATCCACACCTTATGCACACTCGCATATCAAAGTAGCTTATCTGGATCGGGTTTATAATGGGGCGTAATTATTTTATGTGCTGCTTTTAAAACCTGAAGGTTCTCCATTGTTAGACAACCACAAGCCTAATGTCAGGTCTTCAATATTTCTGCACTGATTCTGAGGAAATTAAGCTTATAATAGAGTAAAACAATTTTATTAAACCTTTCTCCAAAATAATGCTTTTAAGTTGTAATATATTCCTTATTAAAAAACAAACAAATGTGTTTGCTGGTTAGAAAATTAACAACTTTCAATAAATGACATACAGATTAAAGGTGGGAGATATTAATTTAAAGTTTTATAACGATTTCTGACTGTACTTTTGTCATGATGATAAAAGTTACAATATTTCTTAAATGTTTTTTAGGTAATTGTGTCACAGCAGTTACAACCCTACAAACACAAATAATCATCTTGAAAAACATTTATATCGTGCTTCTAAAGAACATTATTAGTAATTAAGCCATAACTGTACAGAAATACAAATACATTTTGCATTAAGATGAAAATAATTTTCTTTGTCTGTAAATATGTTTTACCCAGAACTCCTCATGTTGCATTTTTAGCTTTACCCGTTTAAACTTCTGTAAAAACAAAAACAAAAAATCCTATTTTCTTTTAATTGAATGATTATCTGATTATTATTCGATTAATAAAAAAAACAAACAATTTATTCTTTAGCTGCAGATTCATCCTTTGTTACAAATGATCAAGCGTTCATTTTAACCAAATACAATTCTTATTTTCTCATTTTTGGAAGAAATTTAATTATTTATTAGTAATTTAATGTATTTGTAATATTGTATAAAATAAATTTAGGTGTATAAATAAAAAATCTGCAGAATGTGGCAATTAATTATCAATCGATTACTAATATAGTCGATTACTAATATAGCAGCTCTCATCTAAACCAACAAAAAAATTCAGTGTAATTTGTTGACTGCAAATGAAAACCGAAAGATTATTAAACAGTTTGAGTCAAAATGTGTCAATATTTGTGTTGAAATGCTGGTTAACTTGAGTCAAATAATTTCAGAGACTGCTGACTTGTTTTTGTTTAGACTCATATTTTATTTGTAAATATTTTAATGGATGGATGGATTTTTGCAGACGAACTGGATCATGTCTGCAGGTCTGCTAATGCTATCGGACACACATCTGTGCAGCTAATGAACGTTTTGAGTCCAAGTGTTTCACAGATATTTCATGTTTTAAACCTGCAGTAAAATCACTGATCAAGTTTTTTGGCTGCAAAGGCTGAGCCATGAAAACCTGTTTTTTCCTATTTATTATATTTTCATGGTTCAAAAGTCCGACAGGTGAAAGAAAAAGAAAAGAAAAGCGGCGTCAGATTAATCCAGACCAAAGATACTCTCTGTAACTCTTTGCCACATTTCCTGAGTGTTTTATGGTGACTGTTTAAAAATAAATCTTCATATCGCTCTGAAAACGCCTGACAAGGTTTAAAAATAACAGCTATAAGAAAGTGTTTGTTCAGCTTCCAGGAGGCGAGGACGGTTTGCGAAGGTCTTTGTGCAAAAGGTAGAAATATGTATGTGCAAATAAAAACTAACTGTTTGTGTTTACTATTTGCTAAACGTCCCACTCTCTGCATAAATAAAACCTGTGATGCAATATGTTTTGTGTTGGAGCTTCACGCAGCAGGTTTGTTGTATTTGGCACAATGAGTGGAAACGGGAAGAACCAGCTCACCTGGTTCTGATGCAGATTATGAAATTCTTCCAACAGCTCATTCAAAGCCTGCCAACAAAAGTCCAACACGTTTTAAACAGTTAAGGCGAGTAAAATGAGACAATTTTACATGTTAGTTGGTTTGAGATAGAACGATAGAGCTTCCCAAAAATATACTTCAGCATATTTTTGCTCAAGTGAAAGTAAAAAGTATCTGGTAAAAATTCAAGTGCTGAGAAACTGATCATATTATCAATCATTTAATCTTTAAAAATTACATAATCAGATGGACCGAAATATAAAGTTAAATGGAAATGTTGTTTTTCTTCAGGACAAAATTACAATAATTCATATTAGTAACAAAAAATAAGAAAATTTATCAATGAAACATGTTTGTTTTTCTTCCAGTGGGTAATAAATCCATCAGTTTTATTCACCTAAGAGTAGAGATACTTCATTACAAAATGACTCAAGAAAAACTGAAACGTAAAGCATAAAAAAAATACATTTCAAGTTTTAAGCTAGTTAATGTTAATGAGGAAACCTTTCATCTTGTGGGAATCTAAATCCAGTATTTCTGGATCTCTGCTGATTAACGCTCCGGCTCCTCAGCAGCTGAAGGCGGCGGCCGCGCTCAGCGGAGGAGGGGCTGATGGGAAGTGATGATGGAGCGTGACGGTCATTATTACAGGAATCACCCGCTTGGTCGTCCTGCTCACACAGTGGAAGTTTCCATCGATCCGAATCTGCTGCTGCTTCCCATTAGTGGTGGGGAAATGCTGCAGAGGCTCAGACTGGTGGAGCTGGGAGCTGGCCGTGTCTCCAGTATGCTGACGTCTCTGCGGTTGCAGCTAATCACATGGACTCTGGTCTTTGTGGTGTTTTGTGGTGTTTTGCTGACTAAGCTGTTTCCTGTTAGCTAAGTTTGTTGTGGAAATGGAGACAGACGGTCCCTCCAGGATTTATAATAATAATAATAAATATTTATTATTATTATTATTATTATTGTCGCCTGAAATTACAGATTTACGTTTTTTTCGTTTGTGTATTCTGCTGCTCATACCTGTTATTTGTTACGACAGTCCTGAATGTACTCAATGAGCTGATTAGTGGTACAATTGTTGAATTGGAAAGTCAGAAAAGATGCAACCCAACATAACTTAATTTCTCTGACCTTAACAATGAATATGTAAATTTATTAATGATGATTCTGCGTGCAGGCAGATACGTGAGATGCTGTAAAAACATTTTTCTTGAAGCGTCTCCGTTCTGTGGAGCATCATTAGCTTTGCATTATGAATATACAGAGATGGAGCAGTTAACGTATTGATATCAGCATTCAGGAGCTTTGTAGATGCTGCTGCTCTGCTCTCTCTTTTGCTGCAGCTGCCATCTGTCACCAGCAGCAGCGGGTTCAGATGCTCTGCCGGCTCTCTCGGCTCTGGAGCTGGACTACCAGAGCTATGCTGATACCAACCATGTTCTCCGGCAGGGAAGAGGGCTGCGGCCTGTTCATACACAGCTGTGAGGTCCGGTTAAAAGGTCATGACCTCATGCTTAACGCAGCAGATCAGAGTGTTTCTGTTCTGGTGCGACCTCGCTGAGAGGATAGTGTTCGCTGTGTTTGTACCTAAACGTTTTCACATTTAGTCACGTTGCAACTGGGGACTTTGTGGTTTTTAAAGCACAAAGACAAATTTACTGAATTACAAACTTATTTTCTTAACTCTGCACCAGTACAGCACACTTAAATACATCAATAGCTTCAGCAGCAAAACAGCTTTAATTTGTTCAATCAGTGCAGTTAGGAGCATAAGAGCCAATGAGAAATAAATAACAATAAAGGAGCTGAGATAAACAATAGGTTGAATGCCTCTGTCAAAAATATAAAAAATAAACTGCTACAAATCAAATGGTTCAGAAAGTGCAATTAGAAATGTAAATGTAATGTAAAATCAATAAACCATGAGTATAAAATTGGATTGAATAGTTCTGCCTTCTTGAATCAGGCACATTGTTATCAATACTCGATATAGAATTTTTTTCAATATTCAGGCCAATAAAGATATTAACATCAGATCAGTGCATCTCTAATTACAACCACAGTTTTATAGTTAAATAAAACTGGGATAATATTTATTAATGGAGAAAAACTATAACTTATTTAGAAAACTGAAACCTACTGAAATTATGGATATATTATCGCTTGTTTTCGTGTTTAAATTGCTAAATTTTTTTCCACACATGCAGTTTGCATCAGTTATTGACAGTTTATGGCACCACTCTCTCCTTGATGACACTGAACAATAGTCCTTAAAATGTTGGCAGCAAAAGTTGGAGAAATCATCAAAGTTTAGCTCTCAGTTAAATATTCGTGACCCAATCGAAAACCACAATAAAATGCTTTATTTAATTCTGCTTCTAAAAATTAACCAAAGTAAGAACAAACTAAAACGACGACTATAATAGAAACTAAACTAAAACTAAACAATATTTAACTAATAACAACTAGCAAACACTTTAAAAACAAACTGAATCACACAAACAAAGAGTCAAAAGGAATGAAACTAAGCTGTAAAGGAAAACTATTATTGTTACAAAAGGAAATTCAAGATCTTTTTTGGGTTTCTTTACTTTAGACCAACACAAAGTAACGCCTTGTTTTTGTAGTAAAATGGGAAATGATGTATGGATTCAGAATATTTAGAAATAATCTGCTTCTAAAAACAGCCCAGCACTTTAAAAAAAACCTGACTGTTTATTATTTGGTGTCTATTAAATGAGTCATTTGAAAAACCCTCCAATTATTCAAGGGGCTCATATAATTGTGGACAAGTTAAGTCATGATTATTTACTGTGATTTTATTTTTATTAAAAGTGAATCTTTCCAATTTTTATACTACATAATCTTGTGTTTCCTAGATGTTGATTTACCAGGTAAAAGTTTAAAATCCTCAAACTCAGAGTTGATAAATGCACATATTGTATTACTTCTAACCAGACTTTTTGTCTTGCTCCTTTTCTGTGCAGGTGTCCGTACCTGGCCGTCCACCTGTCTCCTGCCATCCCGGTTTTTGCCGTGCTGCTCTTCCTGTTCGTCATGGCCATGCTGCTGAGGACGAGCTTCAGCGACCCCGGGGTCCTGCCGCGGGCCCTTCCAGAGGAGGCCAACTTCATAGAACTGGAAATCGGTCAGTAGATGCATTCGTCTTCATTCTCAGAGAGACACAATGTAAAAAATAGTCATCTGAACCAATGCATTTTCTAACTGTGTAGGAGGATCTATTATGCAAATTTTACAGTTTGCAGGTTTATATATTTCCATTTGTGTCTTTACTGCTTCTAAAAGGAACCCAGGCGCTTTAAAAAATACCCAGCTGTTTTTGGCCAGTTTAAAAAAAACCTCATTATTATTAAGTCAAAATCAACAACCCCAACTCCATCACCTTGCTACTCCAGCTGAGCTCCATCACATTTCGTCATTGGGCTGTACAATGGCTGCTAGAAAAGAAAAGTGTTTTGTTGTTGACTTACAATCCAGAAACCACTTGCTGCTTTCTTGTTGGTTGTGTAGGAAGTTCCACTTCTGCTTTTCATAGATATGCAGTTGTAAAATTGTTTGAAGCCATTTTCACGTGTGAGTGTAAACGATGACTCAGCGGTGGGACGTTGGGTGTGGCCAGCAGCAGCTTATTTGGATTTAAAGTCACAAGAGGACCTAAAACAACTCAAAATAGTCAAAATGTCATTATCTAAGAATGATTTTCTTTAAAAAATGGATGAACATGTTTTGAATGGCCCATAGAAATATCCTAAACTGTTTAAGTGTTGGTCAACTTGTGTTTCCTCATAAACAAATGTGAATAATCTCCACTAGTTGCCTAATAAGCAACCAGATCTGTTTCCATCTCTTAGCTGGTGAAATTTCAAATTCAGAAAAGTTTTAATTACTTAAAAAACAAAAATGTGGAGAGTTGGAAACATCGTACGCTATTTTCCAAGAACCAACAAATACAAAAGTACTTTATATTGAGAAGCCAACCTTGCTAAACTCCGCTACATATAGCAAGCGTTTTGAAACAAAGTGACCCAAATCCAGTTCTTATTCCTGAAAATAAATGTATTCAATTGACTGGAAACCTTTCTTTCAAACATGCAAAATCTAATGGGGTGTATCAGGGCCATTGTAGAAAAAAACAAGTCATTCACTTCAACCAAAAAAACTCAGAAGGTTTGCCAGCAAGAGTAACATGCTGTCAGTAGTTAATTGAATAAAAGAACAATATTCATTTTTCTTAAACTTATACAGTGTAAAATCAAATCATTTTAAATAGTCTCTTGCTATTTTCCAGAGTTTTATATGTATGTAAACACTACCAGTCAAACTTTTGGACAACACTTCCTACTGAATTAGTGAGAAGGTGTCCAACCTTTTCGCAGGTTGGTAATGTTTATATATATGTTTATATATTTGCTCATGATCTGTGGTTCCAGTTTGCCACAAGATAAGAAGAAAGAATGTCAAAACAAACACGACCAGCTGATTAGTAATGTTACAGCTGCATGTGTGACCAGAGATACAAGTCTGCTAATTATTAACTTTAAAAGGACAAGTGTGCAGAAACTTGTTAAAATGTAAGAAAAAAGCTACAAATTTTCAGTAAAAATGTGTAAACAAAGAAACTTTCTCTGTGATTTCTGACTCAAACACTTTAACATAGACTCACAGTGTTAATTTGCAAATTATAACGTCTTCATGAAAGCAATTTTACATAACTTGTGTCTTGAAAATCCCTGGAGTTTGCTCTCAGCCTGTCCTCATGGTGCCAAACCTTTATGATCAGGCATTTAAGGGCAGCTACAGAAGTGACATCAGCATGTTTTTGCTCATCTTTACCTGGGAGCTTTCTGGACAAAAATAACAAGCAGAGATGTGGGAAAAACTGTAGTGGTTCAGGCTAGAAGTATTTATGAGGAATAAATGTTTCAGGTTGGTTTATTTGGCATCAAACAGGGAGAACCGCGTCTTTTTGTTTATTCATACTTCTTATGTTAATTACTACAATATGTTTTAAAAATAAAATCCCTTTTTTTCTCTGATCAAATTTAAGTTTTTTTTTTGGCTTGTTTTCTTTTTAACATACTTTTTATTTTTTTTAAAAGTGACTTTTACTTCAACCGTCCCTCATGCGAGTTATATTAGATCCAGGTTACGAGAATTTCTGTCTAATTACAACATCAAAGTCAACAAAAAAAACCTTTTTAATCAGAAAAAAGCTTTGAGCTCAGTTCCAAAGTTGATTTGTTTTTTGGTTAAACATCTGAAATACAGCTGAACTGGTGGTGTAAGCCTTCCAGTTTTTAATTTTTAAACAGTTATGAGGCACAGCGCTGAAACTTTAAACTGCTGCTGCGTCAGTAACAGGTCGTTGCTAGGTAACCAAAGAGTGAGCGAGTGAGTTGCTAGGTAACCAAAGAGTGAGCGAGTGAGTTGCTAGGTAACCGAGGAGTGAGTGAGTTGACTCACATTCAAATTCAACTTTATTGCTTCCACAGGGAAATGAAATGTTGCCTACATCTCCCAGAATGCATCTGTTATTGTCCAGCCCTAATTGAAATGGGGAAACTCTGGACGCTGAAGCGGTGGAGTTGAGGGACTCGGTGTAAAGAGCGAGCGGAGGCACGCGGCCCTCTGAAGATCTCATTATGACCGTGACTCACTCTGCATGTAGGATGACAGTTCTGCTGCGGCCCTGATGACCCTAATGGACCAGCTGCAGTTTGTTACATGAAGGATTTTACAGGAATCCTCACACTGACCTGAAATCCCAGTTCAAGCTACACCTGGAGCAGTTGCTCACTAAATTATTAATTCTGGATTTCGGGGCTTTTTTAATAACTTTCTTTTTTCTGCTGTGAATCTTGGCTCTTTATTTGTTTTAAACCAAGAGAGATGGCAGACATTTGGTTATTATTACACCACTGTATTGGTTTAATTTCATTACGTTTTATTAAATAGAAAACTACAAATCTTTTTCCTCTTGTGTTGCAGGTCAACGTGAAAAAATAAAAAATGTTTTTGCACTTTCTCCAAAAACTGACACATTTTTTAATCTATTATTGAAAGGATATTTCACAATTCTTGTGATATGATTGTATTTTATTCAAACATATAGATTTACATATTTTTTGCTGATTACTAGAATTCAGTTTCTATGTCATCTGCAGCAAAATTACACATTTAACTCTCCAAAGTATTATTTGGCTTCCATGTTAACACTAACGTAGTATGTAATCTTCTAATGGATATTGATCACACCTAAATAATAATTGGGAGTGCATCGATTGCAGTTCTCTGGCCGATTACAAATCTTTAAAAGCCTGACTTACCATCTATTTGTTACTCTGCAAAAAAAATCTTACCAAGTAATTTTGCTCTAGTTTCTGCTTTAAATATCTTACTACAGATGAACTCAGACAAAACTAACTTAATAGTAGTTTTTCAGCAAGATTTAGGATCTTGGTTTGAGTCAATAATCCTTATTATTAATGAAAAAGGTCGAGTTCCTCTGGCAGATTACTTCTCTTATAATAAAACATTTTTCTCATGTATAAGTGAGATAATTTGCCTAAGGAACTAGTAGGTTTTGTCAATATTGAGGAATTATTTACTTAAAATGAGGTCCTGTATCTTACTGAGAAGTTACTTATAAGTTAGTTTTTATCCTAACATATTTGTACTAGAAACTAGTCCAAAAATAAGATTTGACGTTTTTGCAATGTCTATTTTCTAGTGCATCCTATCTTAGCTTATCTTAATTTAGCTATTTGTATTTTGATTTTGATTTAAAAAGCCATTTTCATAACCAGGCAGAAATTTTGATGTTGCTGCTGCAGTCAGGATGTTTCTGTCCTCATCCTGTTGGTGGCGCTCCTGAGGAGGGTCTCTAATTCTAGGAAACTGTTTCGGCTCTGTGACGCCTCCAGCAGATTGAGCCAGGCCTCCATTGGGAGTGGCATATATCCCTCTCTCAAATTTATTCCCAGTTTCTCTCGAAGGCCCTTCTCCAGCTTTATTTGGATGATTAATATCGGTTATCGCTTACTGTCAGAAAAAATCTGTTCACCATGTTAATGCCTCATAATGAGTCTGACTTATTTGTGCAAAAGCCACTTTTCATGGCAGATATCCTCCACTGAAGGCTGTAAACAAATAGTAATACACTATTAGTTTAAATTATAGTCACTTTTATTCTTTTATCTTAATGCATCTCCAGAAATTAATGTGGGCATGCTTGCTCTTTCCCATTAAGAGTCAATTCCTGTCTGGTCATTGCAGCAACTTAATGGTCGATTCTCCACAGCGGTTTCTCTCTTGAGGAATCTGAGTTTGCAGCTTTGTGATCATTAGTCTGCAGCGAAGCATAATCAGAGATAATAAACTGTCAATCAAACATAAAATTTCTATGGAAGAGAATTGGGGCAACTGAAAAAAAAGTACATCTTTTCTCATAACTTTGACTCTAATTTTAAAATTCTGATGTTTTTTCTCAGAATTGTGTTTCATTCTTTAGGATTCTGACTTTTGATCTCACAAGGAGCCATAATTCGCAGAAGAAATGTCTGAGTTCTAAAACTGCAGACATAAATCTAAGAAGAAATGTCAATTCTGAGAAGAAAATATCCTGACTTCGAGAAAAAAAGTCAGAATTCTAAGAATTGTCACAAATCTGAGAAAAAAATTCTAAATTTTGAGAAAAAAGTTTGAATTCTGAAAAAAGAAGTAGTAATTTTAAAATTAAAGTCAGTATTTTGAGAAACTATGTCCCAATTTTTTCTAATTTCCAGCAAAATGTCGAAATCCCAAGAAATGTCAGTTCTGAGGAAAAAAAGGAAAAATTTTGAGAAATTGTCACAATTCTAAGAAAAAATTTCACAATCTTGAAAACAAAGTTACAATTCTAAAATTGATTAGAATTTCAATAAACCATATCATAATTTTACAAAAGAGTCACAATTTTGAGAAAAAAATATCAGAATTTTGAGAAAAAATTTCAGAATTCAGAAGTTTTTTTTGTTTTATTTTTTAGTGGTCCTAATCCTCCTCAGTAGATTTGTTTGGTTAGTTTTTTTCTGGTTTTGCTTTTTGGTCAAACTTGAATGTTTCACATCAAGTAAACTTCAATATCAGACATGTTAAAGTAAACAGTTAATGCAGTTTTCAAGTAACAATTTACTTTATTATCACAGAAACTCCACTGTGAAAATATCTCTTCCTCCTTTGGCAAATCCTGAAATAATTGCTATTGGTTACTGTTTTGAAGTTCAATTTCACCAAAGCTTGATAATTGCCAGGTTGTTGAAAACATAAATTGCTTAAATAGAGCCAGTCTGGCAACATGAAGTATCCTTAAAAATTTCCAAAGCAACACATTGGACCTTGAGCAACAACTCCAGAACCGACAAAAAACAAAGTCACTATAATCTGTCAGTGTGTTGACATCTTGTTTTTGTTTTAATTCACAGAGGCAGCGAATGGGAACGTCCCGTCGGGGCAGCGACCTCCGCCTCGGATCCGAAACGTTCAGATCAACAACCAGATCGTCAAGCTCAAGTATTGCTACACCTGCAAGATCTTCCGGCCTCCGCGAGCATCTCACTGCAGCATCTGTGACAACTGTGTTGGTACGTCATCTCAGCTGTGCTGCAGAAATTAGCTGCTTTAAATCACTTTATCTTTCAAAACCAACCAGTACCACTGGCTGGCAAACATCAAACCAGTCTCAAAATATGTCTACACCATTTCATCCAATTAAGCATCAATCACACATTTCCATTACGCAGCAAAAAAAGGTAAATTATGTTTATGATGTAATTAATGCCTAATCAATGTTAATTTAGAAGATCAAATGGTGGACACTGGTAACTTAAAAGATAGTTGCGATAACCTTAAAGCACTAATCATAAACATTAGATCTGCTAAAGCTAAGGTGCTACACCAGCAAGATATTTAGCGAAAACTAATGCTAAAGTGCTACACTAACAGGGTATAACTCAGAAGCTAATGCTGAATTGCTACATCAACAAGGTATTTTGCAAAAGCCAATTCTACAGCACTACACCAACAGGATATTTAGCAGAAGCTAAAGCTAAAGCGCTACACCAACAGAATTTTTTGCAGAAACTAATGCTAAACAGCTGCACAAACAATGTATTTCTTAGGAGCTAACAATAAAGCGCTACACCAGCAGAGTATTTCTTTGGAGCTAATGCTAAAGTGCTATATCAACAGAGCATTTCACAGATATTTGCACTAGAAACTAAACAAAAATACTTTGCAAGAAGTTCAAAAAGTAAAACTTTGAAAGCTGATTCAAGCAGCAGCTGTAGTGTAGTTTTAAGAAAGCCAGGTGAAATGGGTTATTTCAGTTAGAAATAGTTAAAGGAAAAGAGATTTGGGAGGAAAATTGCCTGCAGACATATCAGCATTCATAAAATAATTCCAAAAACTTTAAAAATAAACGCTGAACTCAGCAGACGGGGTGGAAGTCCTAAGAGTTGGAGTCTGTGCTTTGAACGATGAAGGCGGTTTGAATTGTGACACGGCCCGTGTTCGGTTTGGAGTTGTCGGAGCGTGTGACCTCCCGCCCTCGCAAAAGTAAAAGTGATTTGGCTGCTGATGATTGAGGGCTGTGTTTGATGGAAGCCTTGGAGTCCTGGGCGATATGAGAGGAGACAGTGGCGCCTCAGTGAGGGAATAAACGCTGAGTCACTGTGAACACTAGTTCGTCTGTTTGCACCTGCTGTGGAGAGCCCGCGACGCGCCTCAGCCGCTGTTACTGAAGGAATCATCTTCATGCTAGCTTAAAGGGAACTTTTTATGCAAAATTCATATTTTGCATATTTTTTTGCTTCCAAAAAGCAACTCAAGTGATTAAAAGAAAACACCCAGGCTTATTGTGGCAATAACTTTAATGTGTTTTAGTGTGTGGTAAATGAGCTGTTTAAAAACCTTCAGATAAATCACATTCAGTGTGCCGTTACATAGCAATCCCACCCAAGCCAAGCCAACTCTAGCACATTTGGTCAGCTGGTTTGGTCTGTTGGACTGGAAACAACAGCTTTGAGCAAAGTTGCTAAATTTTGGTCTGCTTTTTATATTTGTCAAATTCTTAGAAAGTATTCAGAGGAAATTTTTTTTGCAATTGTTGTCTTTGTGTGGCATAAAAGCTCATCTTATCGGTTCTTATTATATGAAAATGCGTATAATTGGTTGAAGGTAACATCATCAATGATTAACAATCGTTGGTTAATCAAGTGTCACTATGTAATAGTGTTGTGAAACAGATGTCCTGAGCAACATTGTTATTCAAAAGCACATATTGCCACAAAAAATACAAGTCTGGTTGTGGTCAAATAATCAAGTTTTTTGCAATCTGAAAATAAAAAAGCTTTGGGCTGGTTTTTAAAATTTGGGTTGCATTTTACAACATTTGGCGAATTCTTAGAAAATATTCAGAGGAAAATTCTTTCACAATAGTTGTCAGAAAAACACCAAACCTTTAATGAATGCCATTAATAAAGCCCAGCTCTGTTACCTAAACTGAGCATCAACACGTCTGGTCAGCTGGTTTTACAGTTGTATGTGCTGTACAATGGCTGCTGGAAAAGATAAGTATTTCATTGTTGGATTACCATTCAGAAACAACTTAATGCATTCTTGTTGGTCGTGCAGGAGGCTCTTATACATTTTCACCAACGAATGGAAACGTAGAGATGGGGGCGGGGCCAGCATTATCTTAACTGGTTATAAAGTGACAGAGGCCATTAAACAGCTCAAATAGGCAGAACTGACCACAATCTGACCAGATTAAAATCTCATTATCGAAAAATAAGTTTATGCAAAAAGAAAATGAATGAACATGTTTTGTTTAGCCCATAGATTTCTCATAACCTGTTCAGCCAAACTTGTTCAAGGTCACCTTTATTGTTTGACCAAACCAAAAAGGAGCAAATCCTGTTTTTGTGATCCACCACTGAGAGTTTGAAACCGCATAAATCTTGCAGTTAAATTTTCACAGCTCGGTTTGATTGTAAAGGAAATGCGGCGTGTGCAGCTTTCTTTAAAATGAACTTTCCTGAAGTGTGAACGATTACTGTCCTGCTGCTCTGTGTACCTCAGATAGACGCTGCATCAATCAGAAACCCTGTTAGCTGCTCTGTAAGTGGCTGCTGTTGCTAGGTGAACTGGAAGATGGTTTTTCTTTTCAAGGTGGACGGGGCTTTGAGTAGATCGATGTTAAAGTGATATTAAAAACGTAAAACGTTCCTGAGATGCTGCTGCTTCCTTCAGCATGCTGAAGGAAGGATGAGATCCAGGTTTATTTTTACCATCGTTAGCCGTCGAGGCTCAGCAACAGTCAGACGTTATCAATAGAAATCTGATTAAATAAAATAAAAAAACTTCCCTTTATTCCTTCATTGTCTCATTCTTGCCTTGTGTCCTTATTTTCTAACTCCTTGTTTCATTTTTTTGCCTCCTATTTTGTCCCCTTTCTACCTTTTTAACACCTTCCTTTGATCTTTGTCCTCCTTTCTACTGACAACATTTTTTCCCTGTTGTTCATTTCGACCTGCCCTGCTTTCTTCTGGCTTTGCTCCAAACATGGAGGAGGAAGAAAACTATTTTTAGACTCCATATTCACTGAAACCTGGTGTCATTTTTCACACGTTCATTTTTTATAACAACACCTCAGTTTGGTGTTTTCACATATTAACAGAGAATGTTGTTGTTTTTCAGACCGTTTTGATCACCACTGTCCGTGGGTGGGCAACTGCGTGGGCAAGAGGAACTACAGGTACTTCTACCTGTTCACCCTGACGCTGTCCCTGCTCACCATCTACATCTTTGCCTTCAACATCGTCCACGTCGTCATGCGTGAGTATGGTGGCAGGAATGTGACGGATCTGGAAGGACGTGATGCAACAGGAGCTTAACAGCAGCTGATAGTTCATGTTGCATGAGAAGCAACCTGATGTGATTGTGCTGCTTTTGTTGAACTGTTGACCTTCTTATTTTAAAGGAAAACGTGGCAATACAAACATTTTTTAGTAAATGTTTTACACAAAATCATTCTTAGAAAATGAGATTTCCAGTCTGTTCAGAAAGAGCTTTTTTAGGCCGTCCTGTCACTTTAAATCCAAATAAGCTTTTACTGGCCACGCCCCCAAACTTAATGGTAGACTCACCCATGAAAATGGCTGCAAACACATCAGTTAGTCAAGTGTATTCATTCAGCACATTTCAACAACAAGGCAGTCCAAACTTATTTACATCATAAAAATACACATGTACATGTTTGAAAAGCAGAAGTAGGGCCTCCTGCACAACCAACAAGAATGCAGAAAGTGGTTTCTGGATGGTAAGTTGTTTTGTCTATTCCAGCAGCATTGTACATCACATACAGCGGTACAACCAGCTGACCAAATGTGCTGGAGCTCTGCTGGTTGCTAAGTAACTGTTGATTGTGACTTAATAACCTGGAGGTTTTTGAAATGACTCATCTTCCAGACGCCCAAATGGTAGTTTTTTTAAGTGCTTTGAGTATTTTTAGAAGCAGTAGAAATCCAAATTGATATAGTAAAATGTTAAAGATCTGGATTTTGTTTAATAAGTCCCTGGTAAAACCATCCTGTATGTATGAGTTGTACTTTTCAGCACATTTACCTCCCTGTCTCACCTGTCTGTCTGTCTGTCTTTGTGCTCAGGCTCTGTGGATCAAGGCTTTCTGAGCACCTTGAAGGAAACACCTGGAACATATCCTTTTAAATATGAATACATTTTGTGTGTTTGTGTGTGCGCGCCTTGTTTTAAGGAAATCAATAACTGTTTTCCTTCGTTTGTTCCTCTGTTTGTCCGTCCTTTGTTTCCTTCACACGCTAATTTAGAAATACATTTTTTCAATGCAAGGTTTTTGCGCTAGGATGATTTGGTTTTGGTTTTATCAAAATTAGTATGTTTTGCTAAACTGCAACTGAAACACTTTCTTCACTTCACACAATTTATGTTAACAACAAATACTACTGGCAAAAACCACAATAAATTACCACAGGAAATGGCAGGAGGATGATGCCGCTCCTTGTTTTTTACTCATATATTGGATAAACAAACTTGTTCACTTGTCATTTTAATTACATTTCTTACTTATTAGAAATTGTGCAATTCTGTTTCTTTGACATTAGCAAAATATTCTCATGTTACGCAAATTTTTATTGGAAATGAAGCTGCCGTTAGTTACTTTATCAGTAACAAGTTATATTGTTAACTAAAGGTTTATTGTGGGATTGATTTATTGTTTTTTTTTTTGTTTCAGTGATGCTAGAGCTGCAATTAAAAAGCTCTAAAATAAATTAAAACCCAACCGGTGCATCTCTATATATGATTATTTTAAACAAAACACTGAATTTCAGTGAAGTTGATGAAGAAGTTACTAAATATTATAAACCTCTGTTGTTCAGTTTTGGTAGAAAAATTACTGGGATACATAATTTTATGAAGCACCAACAGGATAGCTCAGTGACATCATTACGGACAGTTTGACCTTTGACTCCAGTTTAGGGCTTGATATTAATAACGGAGTTAAGATGTTATTTATACATCAGAGGATGTATAAATTTTATTTATACATCAGAGGATGTATAAATTTTATTTATACATCAGAGGATGTATAAATTTTATTTATACATCCTGCTTATTTTAGGGTCTCTTTGTCCTGTTCTCAAAGTAGCAGCTTCCTCTTTTCAGGAATCTGTCCCAAACAGTTTCTTTTTTTGGCTTGTAAATGAAGAGCGAGGAGTGAATAAATGTTTGGTCCCATTTGGTTCCTGACAAGAGAGAATATCCTCTCTACTCCAAGATGGAAAAAAGATTTGACCAAATGTTACTGGTTAACTAAAACCAACAAAATAACAAAATCTGAAACTGAGAAAACATTTTCATTAACTGAAATAAACAAAAACAGTAAGCAATGGAGGAAAAACTACAACTAACTGGAACAATACTGTTAATTTATAAAAAGTAACTGAAACATGTTGAAATTCTAAATATAATAACCTTTGTTTTTGTTCTTAATATCTATTTATTAGCCTTTCAAACTGATGTGAAATTTATGTTTTTTTGTTCTTTTCACCATACAACGCCAGCTGTCGGTAAATTATGGTACGCCATAATCCTCCTGACAGCAAAGGTTTGTATAAAACCTTTGCAACTGGTGTATTTACCAAAACACCAGTTGGTAAATATAGTTTTTGAAAATATGACTTCTTTCAGTTCTCATTATCCAATCAGTGTAAACATAATCACAATCAAATAGTTTTGAATTGTGCACCTAAAAATGAACCTATATGAAAAAAACTAAAACTACTATTATAACAACTAAAAACTAAACGATATTTAGCTAATGAAAACTAGCAAACTCACTCTAAAAACTAATTATAAACAACTGAATTGGACAAGCAAAAGTCACAGCAAAATAAAATTAAAGGATAAAGAAAATAAAGCGTATGTGTAACCTGTGATTAAACATAAATCTCTCTGTAGGCTCCATGTTTTTCCGTCGAGCGTCTTTAATCACCTTATATAACTTCCAGCTGTTTCAACATTGCCGTCTGTTCGCCGTTTAACCAGCGGCCATGACTCAGACCTGCTGTGGTTTTCTTAACTGGAACTCACTGTACTGGAAGTGCTGGTGTGCTTCTTCACCCTGTGGTCGATGGTGGGACTGACTGGTTTCCACACGTACCTCATCTCTCTGAACCAGACCACCAACGAGGACGTAAGTGGTTTAGGATCCTTGTCTTTCACTGCCTTGCTTCCTTTTTTCTGTCTCTTTTCTCTTTTTATCTTTTTCTCTCTTCTTCTCATTCTTTATTATTCCTTATTTTTTTCTGTTCCTTCCTCATTATTTTTGATTTTTCTTTCTTTGTTTATTCCAATTTTTCTTTTATGATCTTTTTCTTTGTTCTTTCTTTCTTTTGTTACCTTCTTTCTTGTTTTCTTTCCTTCTTTTCCCTTTTTGTCTTTTTTCTCTCTTTCCTTTTTCACACTTTTTCACAGTTTTCTTTTTCTTTTTTCTGTTCCTTTCTTTTCTCTTTCTTTTTTTCTTTCTCTGTCTTTCTCCTTCTTTTTTTCTGTTTCTTTTGTTTTTCTCATGCTTCTTTCTGTCTTATTTCTTCTCAAACTGCACTTTTAAATGTTTAATTCACATGTGAAACAATAATTCAACGTTAAAACATGTTTAACATTTGGTCATTCTGAAATCTCTCAGACAGTGTAGATGATTATCTGTGATGACAGTGATGAGAAATCCTAGCGGCATTGTTGAGGTGTGAACTCTGCACCACTGAAGAGCTGATACCGTTGCGGTGACAACTGCAGCACCTCGTTCACCCCTCGTAAACTGTAGCTTGTTTAACAAGACCTTTGTGTTGTAAACTAAAGTCGATTCTGTTGTAAAAAAAAATACGATTTTTCCCTTGTGATAGAAGGAGCTCCAGATAAAATAATAATTTAAAGGTGACATATGATGCTTCCTTGAACATGTTAGGATGGATCTATGGGATATGCTAAACATGCTCATTACATTTTTTGCACAAAATCATTCTTGCGCCAAAATGGCTACGAACAGATGCACAATTATACAACCGTACTTCTTTGAAAAGCATCAGCAGAGCCTCCTGTACAAACAGCAACAACGCAGCAAGTGGTATTTGAATAGTAAGTCAACAACAAAGCTCTTGTCTTTTCCAGCAGCCATTGTACAGCGCATACAGCTGCATGGTTGTCAGACCTGACTAAAGGTTTCCAGCCCAAACACAACATAAAACCCAAAACATAAAAATAAAATCAGCTCAAATCTCAGCCTATAATGAAACTCATGTTAAAAAGCCAGATATAGTCACATATATCTGTTAATGATCATATACGCCGCTGCATAGGCAATGTTTTTGGTTGTCCCTTACTATATTCTGACCAGCACCAGGTCCAGTTGGGACTCTTTGAACACAGTGAGACATGTGCTTTTTATGATACACTATGCCTTTAAATAATATCACACATGAAGTTCTGTTTTACAACAGTAACACTTGATTAACCAACGGCTACTCACTGATGATCGAATTCAACAGAGTCTAGACATTTCAAAATAAATGAGCTATTAAGATAAGCAGTTTAGTAAACGTTTTGTGCTTTTCTGCCGCACAGCGACAGCAACTAATGAGAATTTTCCTCAGAAAACTTTCTAAAAATGTTGTGAAAAGCAGCTCAAATTTTAACAACCTGCCCAAAAGCTGCTTTATTCCAACCCAACACATTCAGAAGAAGGCTGTTGACCAGCTAACCAAAAGTGTTGGACCTCTGCTTTCGTTGCTAGGTAACTGCACTGGACTGACTGTGGTTGCTAGGTAACGGTGCAGCGCCTGTGACTGAAAGTTCGAGGTTTTAAAAACGGCTCATTTCCAAACACTAAAAAATACCAGTTTATTGCCAAGAAATGGCTTTTTTCATCTCTTAGGCTGTTTTTAGAAGCAGCAGAGACACAAACAGAAGTTTAAAAATGTGTGAATATGTAGGTAAAGTGTCTCGTTTAAAGTAAAAACACCTACATTGTCTGCATTATTTCAATGGTTGTTTCTGGATTTTGTTTCTGGATTTTGTTTCAGCTTCTGAGCGTTTTCACGTGTTTATGTGAGCTGGAACCTGAAACGGCTGTTTGTGTCGATGTTATCTAATCATCTAAAAATACATATAAATGTCTTCTATTCTTGAAACCGTTGTCTCATCTGAGGGCAAAACAGACTGAACCTCTGGGCTACTTTTAGAAAAGCTTCTGAGGCCCAAACCAGATAAGAATAGAACAACTGATCGTTTTTATTGTGTTTGGTCATTAATTACAGAGTCAGAGGTGATGCATGTGGATCAGATATTCTGTGTTTTCCTGCAGAACTTCAAAAACGAAGCAGGAACGATGATGTTAGTGGTTTGAGCTCTTCTACTTTGTTATAATGATTAATTTATCGTCTCCTTGCTCCTTTCCAGTGGGATGACTGGCCTCATTTTTTCCATTCATTTCATCAGTAATGAAGCATTGCAACCTGTGATTTTTTTAAAATTTATTTATTTATTTTTTCCCCGCTGCGGGAGATGAAGCGATGGCTGTCAGCCCGGTCGCTTCAGCGTTTGTGATCAGCCTAATAATAGATGCATCGATACCTGCAGGGTCTGGGAGAGCAGCCAGAAGTACAGCGGCGTGATGGCGGCACCTTGAGTGGTGCAGCCGCTCTGGTTTCCCATAGATCTCACACACATACACACACACACACGGTGCCTGCTGACCTACATGTTTACCACCAGAAGCATTTTTCTGTCTTCTCTGCCCTGCAGGCTGGTCGTTTAGTTCATGCTGAGCTGTAGGAGTCATGTTACAGATGCACTTATCTGAATTTTAATCTGGTTTATCTACATCTTTTTATCACTGAGTGCACAGAGTTAGTAGTAACTAATTCTTTTATTACGCTGTAATCTCTACTTTTACTTGAATAATTTATTATGAAGTATTTCTGCTCTTACTTGCGTAAAAATTCTGGATTTTCTAATGACTGAATGAAGAATGAACATGTTTCAACCAATTATCTGCATGATCCAGCCGTGACAATTTGGAGGTATTTCTGTCATTAATCCGACTCATGAAGCTCGTTCATGAATTAACGAAGAGTTTTTAATCTTTTGACGCTCTCCTTGTGACAGAGTCACTGTTAAAGCAGGAATAGTTTAATCCAGCAGGATGAATTTTAGTAGGTCAAACCAAAGCCGGTGGGAATATCGTCTAAAAACGGAAGCATGCTTTTGAATAAGGTATAAGCTAAAGGAGGGACTGTGGGAGTGAACTGGTTGACTTTGCAGGGCGTGTTTTGGTGTTTGCTGCTGCTCTGATTGGTGTTGCTGTGCATTTTATTTGTTTTAGATTAAAGGCTCCTGGTCTGGGAAGAACAGAGGCCAGAATCCTTACAGCCACAAGAACATCATCAAAAACTGCTGCGAGGTTCTGTGTGGACCGACCTACCCCAGGTAAATACCTCTGCTTTCCTCAATTTCCCTCATTTCTTCTCTACATGTAAAGCATTTTCTGGTCTGGTCGCTCCATGCATTCCCTGTTCGGATCAGTAATGAGCCGCACTCAGTTTCTGACCCGTTTTCTGCCCTCCAGCGTCTTGGACAGACGAGGGCTGATGCAGGAGGATTCGCCCGCTGCTGCAAACAGTGAAGGTCCCTGTTCCTTCGACAACCCAGTGGCACAAACAACGGTGAGCGCATTAATCCACACACAGCCAGTCCTCTGCTGCAAGGTGCAACGAAACAGCAAGCAGTTAATCAGATTAATCAATTATTGAAACGATCGTCAGCTGATTTAGTCATTGATGAATGGAGTAAACTGACTCAAAAAACAATTCCTAAAAGAACAATACACTCAGAGCAGGAATTGAACCAAAACTGCACAAGAACATCAACATTTTGCATTCAAATGAAATTTAAAAAAAAATCTTCAAGTTGCAGTTTTAGTTTCTCCTGATTCAAATTTTGTAAAGAAATAAAAATCAACAAACAAATCAAGCAAGATATGTAAAAAGAGAATTTATCATTTCAGGATATTTGTCTGCTTTTTGCTTATTTTTAGGATGCGAAATCTTAAGATTCATATATTTTTTAAAGATTTATTAAATACATGGAGATAACATTGGTAACAACTAAGTAACAAACCTGATTCATCCAGTATTTTTTGTATAACATTCAGATGTTTGATTTGTTATTATTTTGATTAAAATTTTTTTATCTAAATTAAAAAGAATTATTTAAAATTTTTGCTCTTTTTACTGTGTGGTTTTGATTTTATGTGCTCTGAAATGTTCCCATACTCCTTGTATGTTTTGCCATTTTTTCATGTGTAAACTATAAACTTTATTATGATTTTTTTGTAAGAGAAAGATTTTTGACTGATTAAAATCTGAAAAGTGTGGCTAACACGTCACAGTAACCAATAAATCAATTAATCACATGAGAACGTGAAGCAAAATCAATAATTTCCGTTTGCATTATTTATTGTTTTTGTCTTTTTTTCCCCTTCAAAACTAGATGATAATAGTTTTTAATCTGGAGCTTTGGTCTCAACTACACCTTTATTTTGAAGGACAGTTTTGTTTACAGAGATTTAATAATTCATTTTATTTGTTATTTCTATTGTTTTCTTTATTTTGGAGATTTAAAATGTCTTCCAGTGTTAAATGTTCATCAGAACTTAAAGTTTATTGATCTTTAGGAGTATGATCTTGCTTAGTTGAAAAGAAACAATAATGTTATCGTTTATCGCAATAAATTCCGGAACGATTTATCACCCAGTAAGATGTGTTACCATGACAGGACCTGCTTGTTTTCTGTTTTCTCTCTTTTTAACCTCTCTCTCTGCATCTTTTTCACAGAAAACCACAGCTCCTCTCATCCCCAACGAGCACACGCCTGACGATGTCAAGCCGAGCATCACAGCAGAGCAAAGCTCCGCCCCTGAAGACGACCCGCCGCCAGCCGCAAAGCTGCCGCCGCTGGCTTCTCCAGAGACCGACGCAGAGACGTCCATCGCCAAGAACCAGTAGCTGGACGGACCAGCAATCTGTGAACTGAAGAACAATAATAATCGACACCTGATCATGTGAGGGGGATTCAGTTAACCTTTGACCTTTAACGGATTGGAGCGCCTGCGCTTTTCCTGCAGAGACGTTTGACGACCAGAAGAGAAGGAAAATCAGCAGCTTCCCATCTCCTGATCCCTGCATGGAAAAGACTCTCAGGAGAGACGCTGCTCAGAGATCCAACGCTGATTGTCAGTCTACTTGTTCTTCATTTGAAACTGTAAACATTTATCTCCAGAGGCCAGTTCAGTTATAGCAAGCATCAGAGACGAAGAGTCTGGTTCCTGCACATCGGTCGAATCAAAAACACTGCAGAAACTCTCAATCCTACCAAGTATTTAACATTTTCTAGAGCAGATATTTTGAGCCACAGGAATAAAACTAAACTAACTTACAGGAATATTTTCAGCAAGTTATAAGAGCTTGTTTTGAGTAAATCCTGAATATTGCTGGAAAAAGTCCAGATTATTTCACTTATAACAAGGGAAAATGTCTTGTTGTAAGTGCAATAATCTGCCAGAGAAACTGTGACGTTTTGATTCATATTAAGAGATGATTGACTGTTGATGAAAAGTTACTTGTAATCAGAAGTGGGCAGAGGACACAAGAATCATACTCAAATATGATTCTCAAAAAATACTTATTTTTACCTAATAATCCAATTATCAATCATTTAATATTTAAAATTACTTCATCAGATGGACCAGAATATAAAGTTAAGTGAACATTTTGGTATTTTAAGGACAAACATAACAATAATTCATATTAATAACAAAAAAAAAAATACTAAAATTAGGCTAATTATTTTTTTTCCAAAATTGGTCTCTTTCAATAAAAAACTTCTGAAATTTTAACAAAAACTGCAGGTGTGTGTCTCTGTCTAGTGAACGTTTGGTTAAAACATGTTCATTTTTCATTCAGTGGGCAGAGAAAACTGAAATTTCACTCAAGTAAGAGTAGAAATACTTCATAACAAAATCACTCAAGTAAAAGGAAAAAGTGAACGTTAGTAAAAATACTCCTAAAAGTACATTTGAGTAAAAGTAGTTACTACCCAGCTCTGCCTGTATGTTAGTTTTGTCTTATTTGAAGTGAAGTAAAATATTTGCACTAAAACCTAGACCATAAGTAAGTGGTAAAATGTATTGTTTTTGCAGTGCGTCATCTATGCTGTACATAAATTACATACCCTATGCAAACCATTGTGAGGCTGGAAAAGCAGCTTTGTGAGAACATGGGTATAAGCGTTGGGTTTAACATGTGATGCCCAGGCAGGAGGAATCGTTCGCAGGTCAGACTCCCTCCAGGTGACCTTGTATTCTGATCCTGCTGCATTCAGTGCTGTTCACGCGTGTGTGCATCTTTTTTTTAAATCAATCTCAACTGCTGTGGTTTCTTTTTGTGTGTTTTTTTTTTGTGTGTTTTTTTTTTTTATAACTAAAGATGTAGTGTGATGTTGAGGCTTGTGAGATTACAGTGAGATTCCTGAGTCTGAGGAAAGAAAAGGCCTAATGAGTGTCGACACTTGCATTAACAGTGCCTTATCACTGCAGCTGCAACTCGAGCAACAGGGACGATCCTCTAACAGTGTTGAATCAAAAATCAGCTACAAACGGGAATCTGACTTATAGAAGAAAACATCTTGCTGCAGCCACTGAAGAAATCATGGTGGGACTTGCTAGTTTGTTAGCGTAGCTTATCTTAGCCTAGCTCAGTTTACATTTGTGTGACAAATTGCTTAGTAAAACTGCTACAAGACAAAGAGTGTAATTTGTATTTCTGGAAATCTTCAAGTATTTTATGATTTCTACTTATTTTAAACAGAAGAAGCTAAGCTTCTTCTGTTTAAGCTAAGCTAACTAGCTGTGAATGCTGAATTGATCTAAATTGATTTCTTCATTTAACTTGGAACAAAATAGAAAAGGTACAATTAAAACTTTAATTTGTTTTGAAAAGCAAACTGAAAAAACACAATTTGACCCATAAAGTTTTTAAAAAGATTTTTTTTTAATCCATAAGAACTGATTTTGTCTGTTTCAACTGAGAAATTACAATTTCATAAAATGAAATTGATCATGAAAAAAAACAATTATCTCAATTTAAATTGAATTTTTTAGTTGATGGAAGCAACTAAGAAACTTGGTGCAGCTTAGCATAGCTTAGCTTAGCATAGCTTAGTTTAGCTTTATTTTTTGTGAATATAAGCCAATATTAAATGTGCCTGCTTAGTAAAAGGAAAATGTCTTTTCCTTTTTGCTTCTCAAAATAAATCAAGCTTTTCTGCTAAGTTAAATTTATGCTAACTAGCTGCTGCATTTGAATTTGTTCAGTCTAGCAGGACTAATTCCTGAATTCAACATTCAGAGCAACAATAAATTAAAATTCAATTACATCCTATAATTAATTCCGTCTTAACAAAACTGGTAAAAAAAAAGTAACAATAATGAAAGAAAACTAAAATTTTTCAAGATGTAAACTGGAGATTAATTTGTGACTATTTTAAATTAGCTCAATCTAATGGTTTAGATAATTAAAAAATAATTGGTATTTTTGGGGAATAAAAGACAACTATACGGCTGCAAGTTTTTCAGCGGATTAAATCCAATTATGTATGATTAAAATTTACTGGGACTGACTAATTTAACTTTAGATTAACTAAATTTAGCATAAAAACAAGCCCCAGCTTAGACAAACGGTTTGTAATCCCACAGAAATATATATTTTGTTTCTCTAAATCAAAAAAATTCTTAACATTTGGCTTGTACGTAAATTTGTATTTTTAGCCTTTAATAATAATAACAAATCACATTTTCAGCTAAGCTAAGCTAACCAGATGCTAAAATCCGATTTGATGATTAATTTTACAGCCAAAATAAAATATCAAAATTTTCTTCTTTTATAAATGGGAAACTGCAACAATATATCTTAATATATGTTAACTGACAACTCCTTTTAGAGATACAGTATTCTACCTTTGACTTGGCCACAAAAACATCTGATAAGATAAGAAACTGGAGTTTGTGATGCAAAATGAAAAATAAAACCGTTATGTATTGTATATTGTTAGGTAGAGCTGCGATGAAACACATTAAAGTAATGGATAACGAAGTGTGGCTAGGGTTTATTGTGCAGCAACTTCTGTGAATTATGGCGGAGGTGGATCTTCCTTCCTTTGCATTTTCTCTCTTCTTCCTCTTCTTCTTCCCTGCCTCTACATTAAACTCTGTCTCTTGATATTTGCTCCTGCAGAAGAAGCACCTGACACATCAGACAGTTTTGACGGGATGTAATCGCAGAGAAAAGAGCGGGAAGATCTTTTCACGTTAGTATTTAGAAGGTGTTAGCTGATAGCAAGTCTGTAGTAGTGACTGTGTTGTATGCAAGACAAGAGTTTGTGTTTGTGAATCTTTCTTGTGTAGACTTCAAGTTTTATATCAGACATTTCTGCCCAACAAGATTTATTTAAGAGTTGAGAGGGATTTTGGTAAATCTTAAATAAGGCACTTGTTAATAAAGGTTCAGACTGAAGCGTAAGCTGAAAGTCTTTGAAATCAAGCATATCCATAATATCATGATAACCTATGAAAGTTTGCAGAAGTTTACATTTCCAAAGCAGCTTGTGTAAATGTTGCCATGATACAGCTGTATTTTAAATGTTCAATCGCCAGTAAAAAAGTGCTAAACCTAAAGCTGAACTCCTTTACTGTGAAGGTATTTTAAGATGGCTTGGTGTTATTATTGAGAAGCAGGAATGTAGTTAGTGGACATTTGGGAGAAGGGATGTTTGAAGCACATCTTAAAGGGACAGATGGATTTTTATGTTTTTTAGTTTTGAAGACCAGTTTTAGCTCTTGTATTTATAAATCCTGTGTTGAAATGAAGATCAGATCTGAATGCTCTGATCAGTCAGTTACACCACATTATATACACAGATACTTTGAAGGAATCATTATTTATGTTTTCTTAGTTATCAACACTGTGATTCTCTGTATTTCATTCAAATTGCTTCACTTCTTTTTACTTGATCTGTGTGTCCATTAAATAAACAATGTTGTCTTACTAAAAACTGACTATTTTAAATACTTTTTTTCACAATTTGAATATTGTTTTGTATGCAGACGTTAGTGGCCTGCTGTTGAAGTGGCCTCAGAATTAAACAAAATTGATGTTTAAGTTACGTTTGAGCAGCAACAAATTTTGTGCCGCTATAATTTTAAAGATATTTATAAATGTTTCCAGAGGTCATCAAAGATTAACAAGTTGGTGTCAGTCGACTGCTTCTACAGTTTTAGCAGCACAAAACAGCACAAACATAATATTTCTTTTAATTTTGTGAATATGGACTGGATAGTGGACCTTTGACCTCTAGAAACATTGATTAATATCTTTAAAATGAAATCTGTTTGACACCAACTTTACTCTGCTGTTAGTTGGCTCATCAAAATGTTGCTGAAGATGGTACTATTGTAAATATTACTCCCAGAATGCACTGCATTAGGAAGGGGAGGAGCTTCAGGAAAGGAAACTGATGTCATAATTTATCAGCTACTGTCTCCATAGAAACTAGTGGAAAACAAAAAAAATAACCAAATACTTGTGAATTAACGCAGAACTAAGAACCAATTTAATCAGGGATTAACCAAGGTAATTTACACTCCACTGATTAAAGTTTATTTAATTTATTTACAGTCACAAAAAACATATCAGTTTAGATACATGAAAAATGTGAAGATAGTTTACATTCATGAAGGAAAAAACCGAAAACATAAAGGACAGAGTGAAATCCTTGAATGTTTTAGCTGAAACATTATACAACAAAATATGCCTCAAGTAAAATTACACCATCATATTTTACAAGTTGGTTAAAAAATCCGCCATCTGTGCAGCTGGTAATAGTTTGTGCAGCTTGTAAGCGAGCTGTGAAATGATTGGTATCGTGGGAAAATCATCCTTCAGTAACGGACAGCGTGCTCGTTCAGGGTCCTAGCAGAGAAGTGGCGCTATCTGCTCTCTTTTGATGAAGAGAGGCTTTAAACGCTGATCACAGCTTCAGAAATGAGACGGGAATGTTTGAGAGAGTTTTCCATCACCTGTCACTGTCCTTCGTCCACCGTCAGCTCCTGCAGCTGTTCCTGGACAGCCTCCAGGTTCTCGGCCTCCTGCGTCTCCTCTGACTTCTCTTCTTCTTCTTCTTTTTCTTCTTCTTCTTCTCCTTCTTCTTTCTCTGTTTGCCGGTTTGACTCTTCCTCCTCCGTCTTCGGCTCCTCGCGGCCGTTCTCCAGGTTCTCTGAGCTCTCAAAGCAACCCGAGTCCCGCGGCTCCTTCAAGTGTTCAGCTGGTCTCTCCTCCTCCTCCTCTTCATCGCCCTCTGGTTCAGACTCGTCTTCAGCTGAAAGATGGAAAATAAATCAGGGTTAAACACAAAAGCCTTCAAAGTATTTTACCTAGTTTCTAGTGTAAATATCTTACTGCAATTGAAATATGACAAAATTAACTTCAACTTTTCAGTCAATAATTCCTTAATATTGCCTGAAGAATTATAGTTTCATTGGCAGATTTTTTCAATTGTAGCTATAGTCTCAGTGGAACAAATAAAAATATTTTTATAATATATGAGTAAAATGTCTTGTTCCACTGGCATACATGTCACTTATAACTAATAATGTAAGATTTGCATGTCAGTTTGTGTAATTAATGACTTTTTAAGACATTCAAACAGGTCAAACTGAACCAGGTTTCCCTTTATGCTGATGATATTTTGCTTTTTATTTCTAATTCCCAAATGTCTTTTCTGTTTGTATTGTTCACTTATCTAGTTTTGCTAACTTTTAAGGTCATAAATTAATTATTTTTTGCTTGTAAACTTCTCTTTTGTAACAAATAAGAACTCAATGAATTATGAACATTTTTACTCAACGTTTATTTTGTCCTTTCATGATCTCCTCATTTTATATCCTGGAAAGAGAAAACTAAATAATGAATTCCATTATTTAACTTTAAAATTAAATGGTATTTGGCTGACTTAGTCTAAATTTAAACCAGAATTACAATAAATGACTAAATAATGAAGAGCTATACTTAAATTTGCCACTTGACATGCTGGTTAAATTATAATTCAGCAAAAGTAAACCTAACCAGTTTCTCAGTTTTTTTTTTTTTTGGTAAAATGTCACTGAATATGCGTTAAAAGGAATTAAATCTGACAGAAAAAGCCAGTTGTCTTAGTTTTCCTCCTAAATAAAAACATTGTTCAAAACTTTATTTCCAGTTCCTGGTCTGAGCAGCAGCCGTCGAGCAGCATTAATCTGAAATATGACGGGATTGTGCCGTGTTTGGACATACAATCTCTGAGCAGGTCAGCTGCGTTCAGGATCTTGGAGCGGTGATCTGGGTTTGTGATGTTCAGATCATTCAGGTGAGACTCCTTCAGCCCGGTGAAGTCCTCCAGGCTCTGGAAGCCGTGCATGGACAGCAAGGAGCTCAGCTCCTGAAATGTAAACAGTGTAAAACTCTCATCAGACTGGGATTAATGTGTGGACAGGAACCAGAGAGGCAACAGCTCGGCCCACGTACCGTCAGGCCAATGCGGTCCAGAACTTCCTCCAAGGTTTTGGGCTTGGATTTGGACCGGCTGCCTTTGCTGTGGCAGCGTTTCCTCCTGGTTGGAGGCGTCTCATCGGGCAGAAGGTTGACATAGATGAACTTGAAGGATCCCACTTTGTTGTTGAGCTTTCCTGTCCAGGTTCCCACGGGGGGCTTGTCAATGATGTGGATAATGTCACCTTTCTGTGAAATAAGACGCAAAGCATCGAGATGAGGGTTTGTTCTAGTAAAACCTCGGAAACCCTCATTAAAGGGGCCTATTTTGTACCTCAATTTGGGTCTCAACTGCATCTAAACACAGTTCAAATGCTTAAAAAAACACCCTGTCATTTTGTGGCTATAAATGAATGTTTTTTGGTGTATGGAAAATGAGCCATTTCAAAAACAAATCACATTTGATGGCATTTCGCCGTTACCTAGCAACCCCAGCAGAGTTCCACCTGTCACCTAGCAACCCAAGCAGATCTCCAGCACATTTGGTCAGTAGGTTTTACTATTGCATGCTCTGTACAATGGCTGCTGGAAAACATAATTGTTTTGATGTTGACCTACAGTCCAGATACCAGTTGGTTGTGCCGGATGCTCTACTTCTGCTTATCAAAGATTTGAGGTAATTTCACTGACATCTTTTTTTCAGCCATTTTTAATGAGTATAAATAGAGGTGGGTGGCTCAAGTCAAAATAACCAATATAAATATTAGTATCAATATCAGTGTCAGTGTGGCAAGACTGATGCTTAAATTTTACCAGAGTTGTGGGCTGAATTTGAAAATGTTGAATTTTCAAACTCAGAAATGTTCTTGTTTTTTTTTTTACTATTTTTGGTGGAAATGTACAACCCCTGTTTTCTATCTGATACGTGGATCTACTAAAACAACTCTTTCTGAAAAGAGCTCAAAACAGCAGAACTGGGCAAACTAAAATATTATGATTTTGTGCAAAAAAATGTAATGGACATATTTTGTATCACCTATAGAAGTATCTTTTTTTATTTACTCTTTTTTTTAATGTTTTTCTTAGATTGAGTCAATGTGTTTAGACATTCAGAAAGAGTCGGGCCCTGCAGATTATTCTTCCTGTGCAGAATAATAATCATAATATTTCATGGAGCTAACAAGCTCCCAGGAGGACAACAACAACCAGACAGCAGACTCAGCTAAAGGCCAGATCACAGACAGACTCACTTGGAGTTTCAGCGACTCCACATCGTAGGGGCTGGGAGTGAAGTCGGTGTGGACCACGGCGCGGCCGCAGAAAGGCCCGTTGTAGGCGCTGTCCTCCAGCCTCATGCTGTCCCGCTGGCAGTACCCGCTGTCCAGGCTCTGCCTGTCGCTGCCTGAAGACAACAGACGATTAGGGCTGGACAATAAATCAGTAACAATATGTATCACTATAGACAGATAATAATAATAATGTTGTAAGTAAATAATCTGCAAACAGAATAAGTACTTTTTCATCAGTATTAAGGAATTATTGACTTTAATCAAGCTCCTATATTAACATTAATTTAGTTTTGTCTTATTTCAAGATATTTTCAATATAAACCAGATAAAAATATTTGGTAAGGCTTTTAGTTTTTGCAATGGGGGAGATTTTGCTCATCCCTTCTTCTTTCATTCTTTGCAAAATTATTAAAATCTATTTTTTAAGCATCTGTCAGCAGATGTCAAATATTTATGAGGTTAAATTTTTCCTTTTAGGAAGAAATAATAATGGTAGTCCCAATTATTTCTGAGTGGTGAAAACTTGTCCAAACATAAAAACTGTGACTCAGTCACAGTGAATTCAATGTTTTCTCTGAGCTATTAAATTTGACCGTAAAAGGGCAGCATGTTTGTTTGCCTGTGGGTTTTCTGTGGTGGTTCTTGCAGGCTTACTGGCAGAGAGCTGGCGGCTCACTGGGCTGGGGGTCGTGTCCTCTGACCCCGTGGAGCAGACAGACGTCCTCTGTCCCACACTCATGTCTGGAAGAAAGTCAGAGGAGACGGGGGACAGCTCCTCGCCGCTCTCCGCCTGGAGAAAAACAACATTTAAATAAACAAGTTTATTTTTAATTAAACCAAATCACAAAACACTAAATATCAATGAAATATATTGAACTGATGGTAGTCCTGTTTTTCTTGCTTGAATAGCAGCCAATAATGAAAAGAATTAGAAAAACATTCATTCAATTTAAATTATTTCTGCTAAATATTATTTGTGTTATCAAAAATTATTTGAAATGTTGATCAAATTGATCAATAAATAAATTCACTTCATTTTGCATATTGAAGAAAGTATATTCATTTACATGTCTAAATCAATAAATATTGAAATGAATATTTAAGTGAATAATAAATAAATAAATATGCATTTATCTAAATAAACAGAGAAACGTATTTATTTATTTTACTAAATAAATAAAAAATAAATATTTATTAAAAATTATTAATTAAAAAACATAACCTAGCAGAGAATTGTATTCTCAAAATTTAACTTAATCAAACATTTTTAAAAAAATTGATCAAGTTAATCTGTTAACTATTTCTGTATTTTATTGAAATAGATGCAGCTCATTTTCTGACCACAAGAGGGAGGCAAATAGCTCAGAAAAACAAGCTTGAAGTCTTTTTAAATAAGGTTGATCTGAAACCCGGACTGGGCTCTTTTTTAGGGCTGCAGACATTTTTCTATTACATTTTGTAAGAATTTAATTTGTCAGGTTTTTCTCACCCCCTCCTCAGCCAAGGCCTTCTGCACCATCTTGGATGTTTTCCGGGTCATCGTACGGGAGATCACGTTGCGCCACTTTTTCCCAAGTTTGCTGCCACTTTTCACTACTTCTTCTTCTGTCACATTGTCTCCCACCTAACACAATACAAAAAAAATAAAAAAAAACACCAGATGTCTATCAACGCCTGTCAGGTTACAAGAGATCACAGAAAGTCTAACACAGCGACCTGTTCCTTTAATGTCACAAAGGCGAAGCCGGTTTATCGTGATCGCACAGGCAAAAAATGGTTGAATTCTCATGAACTAGAAACCGTGCAGGTTTGTGGTCTTGGTGTTTGAGAACCCACACACACCCCCACACACACACACGCACACGCACACACACACACACACACACACCTGCTTCCTGGTGATTCAAGGAAACTGAGGTTCTCACTGTTTTTGTTACTCAATAGTTTGGATTACATACAACATGAATACATTGCAACAAGCAACATGACGTCTCTTGGTCAATTTGTTTTTCTGACCAACTAAAGTCGCCATCTTTAGCCATTTCAACCCTTCCTAAATTCATTGTGTACCTGGAAACAAACCATTTCACTTTCACATGACCAAACTGTTGCCCATCAGTTTAATTCCCAAAGTTAAGTTTATTATAAGTAACTTTACAACTTGTTTTAAGTTAATAATTATTTTAAAAGTACTAGCTCCACTGACACTGGAACCAGAACTTTATCAAAAATCGACACATTAGCAATGAAAACATGTCTATTGTTTGGCATTGGTTTGGCTATGGGTGATTCTTCATGTCTGCATTTTTACCATTATTATTTCTGTTAGCATCTTGTTAGCATCACGGCCTTTACTAACTCATGTTTCAGACAGGAAATGAGCAGAGAGGCCAGGAGAGAAAATCATGCAGCAAAAGCCTTGAGGTTTTTATTAAACACAAAATTACATCATCAGGGAGTAACAGCATGTACAGCCACACACTGCAAAAAACGCAAAATCTCACTAGTCTTTAATGCAAATATCTTAGTACACTTGAATTGAGAGAAAAGTAGCAAGTAACTTTTCAGAAAGAAGTAGTAGTTTGTTTTAATTCCTTAATATTTATGAAAAATAACTATTTCCATTGGCAGATTATTTCACTTAAGACATTTTTCATGTTATGAGTGAAATAATTTGCCAGAGTTAGTAGCATTTTTTTATTCACATTAAGAAATTATTTATTTAAAATAAGCTTCTACATCTTGTTGAAAAGTTACTTGTAAGTTTGTTTTGTCTTATTTCAAGTGTATTAAGATATTTGCACTAGAAACTAGACAAGAAAACTTGGTAAGATTTTATGTTTTTGCATCAATTCAGTCTAGTCAGTTATGCAAATGGAGAAGAATCTAATCTGACACTTTAATGCAACCAAACCCACAGCAGTGTTTACCTATAAGCTGTCCAATCAGGACACAAATAAAGTGTTTCTTTGCTGAAGTATTTAATTCTCCCTCAGATTTCATGGCTGAGTTAATTTGTCGGATTAAAACCTGATAACGGCGAGAATTCAACGTGTTATAATCTCCAGGGAAAGGCCCGTCAGATGCCAGGTTAATGCTTTCTGCTTCTGCTCAGCCTGTCTGACGCAGAGGCTCTCTGCTTGACTAGCTGTCACCAGAGGACATCCTGTCTGCTCGGTGCTGTCATCTGCACCGCACTGCTTCTCCTTCTTACTTCCTCTCCGCTTCTGTACTTCTGCACTCTTTCGTCCTCTAACTCGCTCATCACTGCCGAGAAGTGACAAACCCTTTCTGCTGGGAGATTCACAGAAAATGTAAAGCGGCTGATTTAAAAAAAAGAAAAAAAAAAGGGGAAGCTGAAATGTATCTTTTTTCAGTCACAACTGACAGTAGTGGGGTTTCTCTCTGGGACTGAAGAAAAATGAGGAACACTGTGAAAACACTACCTGTAGGAAGAACCATTCAGGAACTTAAAATGACAAACATTGAGGCGCCTACTTCCACTTTTCCAGCCTTTTGTTTCAAACTGGTTTTGGGTGGGAGACTCACATGCTCATCTAAGGTGAACTCCTTGTCTGGCGTGCAGGGGGAGGTGGGCTTGTGCTTCATGAAATCCTTGAAGCTGCTGGACCTCTGCAAGGTGAGCTGCAAAACACAAAAAGGCTATGAAGAAGAAGCACAAACTGCAGAGGCGCAAACACACAAAGAAGCACCAGATAAGCGACTGTTGGTGCACAATGGCTGCTGCTCGGTGATTCAGTGCTGCAGCGCTGATAAGGCTTCTGCTCTTATCTTGTACAGGTTAAACAGTGAAAGTGCAGCTGGATTTCTGATTATGAAAACGCTTTATTTGAAGGGACGTGCATAAAACTCACAGAAACCACAACTGCTATGAACACAACAGAGTCTTAATAAATGTTTCTGATTCTTGTCATTAAGTGTCACTTTGTAACATTTTCAATGTCATCAGAGTAGAAAATACTTGATTGACCCGCAAGGGAATTGCTTATTAGTTATTTGAGAATACAAATATAACAATGAATGATAAAATGTATAAAACATTTAAATATGAATGTCTAAGAGTGCTTTAAATAATTAAAAACTCTATTAAAAGTGATAAATTTGTATTACATAGTGAATAATGACACTTTTGAATGTCCATTACAAGTGTAAACATTGCATTAAAAGTGTCATTATTTACTAAATAAAACTTCCTAACATTCACAAAGACTCCTTCATGTTTCTGACATTTATATCACTGCCCTTCAAATCAAGTGTTACCAAATTATTTTAGTATTTTTACACAAACACTGCAAAAACACTAAATCCAACCAAGTGTCACACATATCTCAGTGCACTTGAAATGAGACAAAACTAACTTATAAGTAACTTTTCAGAAAGATGTGGGAGCTTGTTTTAAGTAAATAAAACTTTAATATTGATTAAAAAGTTGTAATTCCACTGCAGATTATTTCACTTATAAAGAAACATTTTCCCCTAGTACTTTTTAATCAATAGTAAGGGATTATTTTACTGAAAACAAGCTTCTATATCTTGCAGAAAAGTTACTTGTAAATTAGTTTTGTCTTATTTGATGTTTGCACTAGAAACTGCACCAAACACTTGTTGTTTTTGCAGTGCAGCCAGATTTCTGTGTCCACAGCTTTCTGCAGGTTGCAGCTCTACCTGTGACTTGCGTTTGTGTAAATATAGAGCAGAAAGGAAATGAGGGCAGCTGCTAAACAGCTGTCTCTGAAATAAACCGCGCCACTAATATAGAGCGCTCAGCTGAAGTATTAATATCTTTGGACCTTCTTCACATTCTGTTAAAAGGAGAAACTGAACTTTATCTGGATTTTTTCTGATGGACTGACAGAAAGTTGTAGGTATTTCAACCACCAGCAGGGCCGGATTTACAAGGATGTGGGCCCCTGGGCTGGAGCCAGTTTTGGTGCCCGAAAATGTCTCCACAAGAAAAAAATACTTTAACAGTCACTGTACATTAATAATGTAATAAAAATATAATAAGCATTATACCGATAAATCCATGATGTTCCCAAAGAAACTGGCTGTGAGTTCATAATTTACCAACATTTAAATATTGTTTATTTTTATAAAACTTCCAAAATGTTAACACAACTCATCTAATTTGGGGATATTAGTTTTATTTAACTACTCAGAACCTGTTTAAGCTTTTCTACCTGAGTCAATTTGCCAACTTTCTAAATCACATTTTGATCATTTAGTGTTGAAATGTTTTTCTCAAGCTCTTTGAAAATTATTTTTGGTAATTTTTTTCCAAGTCTTCCTACAGATTCTTAATTAGATTTAAGTTTGGACTTAGACTGGGACATTTTAACTTTCAGGTTGTGCTGGAAGGTGAACCTTGTACCCAATTTCAAGTATTTTGTAATTTTTCTTTCAGGATTATCCTACATTTAGAGGAGGGCAAAGTACTCAAAAACTGTTATCAAATAAGATAACAGTTACTTCAATCACTCAAGTAAGAGTAAAAAAAGTATTTGGAAAGAAGTCTACTCAAGTACTGATTGAACAAATGATCAATCATTTAATGTTTTAAAATTACATCTTCAGAAGGACTTCTTATTTTGAGAACCAAAATGACAATAAATCATACAAATAAAAAATAAAATCAGGAAAATTAAATGTTTTCCAATAAAAAAACATATAAAACTTTAACACAACTGCAGGTGTGCATCTGGTGAATATTTGGTTTAAACATGTTTTTTTCATTCAGTATGTAGAGAAAACAGAAATTTTATTCAAGTAAGAGCAGAAATAATTCATAATAAAATTACTCAAGTAAAAATGAGAAGTACAGTGTAGTAAAATACTCTTAAAAGTATTTCCTTTCCCCAAAAAGTTACTGAAGTAAATGTAATTGATTAGATGTAACTAGTTACTACTCCTCTCGGTTAAATGCAGTTCTGACTTTGTGAATACCAGTAAAATATATTTCCAGTCTGCGGCTGGTAAACATGCAGCTGGTATTAATATTAGAAACCCTGGTAGTTATTTGTTTATACCCAACACAGGTTAAATCAGCAATTGGTTGGTTTTGTACATGAACCCCAAAAAGTTTCTTATCTGACCAGAGAATCTATTTACCGTTACTTGTTAGTTACTTGTTTGTAGCGCCCCCTACATGTCTGATGGAAAATTGCAACAGAACTTTTAAAGGATTTCTGTCGGTTTTGACTTCGTCTCTTGTCACTCGTCCATTTATACGCGACTTCTGGAGTGAAAGACGAAGAGTTAAAGTCTTCTTGGCTGCTTGCTAATGTCCATTTTCTCTAAAGTTTTCAAATATGAACATTTATGATTACAGTAAAAACAAGCTGACTCTGTTTATCAATTAGTTGATTTCTTAAAGCAAGTTTTTTGTTTTCAAGCTATTAAAATGATGAGTATTCATTTTACACAAGTCCAAGCTAAATAAAAATATTTTGACCAAAACAAACCCCACAGCATGATGCTGCTAACACCGTGCCTAATGGTGGAGATGGTGTATTTATAGCATTCCACCTTGCACAGCATTCTGCTTGTAACCCAGACAGTTTAACGTCGTGGTGAACTTTTTTTTAGGTGCATCAGAGTTCTCATCATAAGAATATTGATTTAACTTCAGTTATTGATAGTAAATAAAAACAAAACTGACAATATGATCAGAAATGTTATTTTTCTTTACTGTTTGTTGCACTAGAGCTTAAATAAATGTCATTAAATTTGAAAATATGATTACAGTAACTGTGTAGTTTAGTGATTTAAATCTAACTTTTTAAATTGATCCTGAAGAAGCCTGTTTTAAATCAATATTGCGTTTATGATGGTATGAATGCTGGGCCATGAGGTGACAATCACACAGTTACCTAAAGAATCACAATCTTTATCATTTCCACAAAATATTGCAGTAAAACTGTAACTGCATGTCGCCTGGAACTAATCAGAGTAACGCGGCCTTATAAATTATATAATTTTACTTGTAAAAATGTGATAAGACAGGAATCTGTTTTCCCACCTGTGCTCTACTTTGTGTTGTATTTTTGCACAAATCTCAGTAGATTTGATAGAAGTCTGTGGTTGTATTGTGAGAGAAAGGTTAAAGAGAACTTTTGCAAAGATCTATAAGTGATGAAAGTAGCAAGACAACATCAGACTTTCAGACTGAATCTTTAAAATATGGTAATTAGGATGTCAGAAAATAGGAAATACCAGTTTTCATACTTCCTCATCATCGATGTTTGACATTTAGTGTATGTCCAAGTCCTGAAAAATTATTTCTTTGCTGTACAAATTACAGTTTTCTTACACACGTTCTGAAATTAGAAACTTCTGTTAACCAAATCGGTTGCGATTTTAACTCCTTTGCATAACAAGCAGAGTTTTCCCTCTATCTGTGGCGGAAACTCTTTGTCTCATTTTCCGTCGAACTGTGGCGCAGCGCAAAAATCTTATCGCAGCTTATCCTTTTTTCTCTGCGTGCTGAAACCACAGGAAATGGGCAAAGCTTGAGCAACTGCTGCCAGCCAATCATTGCAGGCGTTTTAGCAAAGTCAAAAACCTGAAGAATTAAAACCACAGGTGAAGTCAGACAAACTCGCTGACCTTTAACATCTCAAAGTTTTGCTGCAACATGATCGAATAAACTGAATAGCCACAACGAGGAGGTGCTCCGGTCTCTATCTCCCTGAGCAAATACAAATGTTTTCTGAGAACAAAAGCGAGATGTGTAATGACAAGATGTCAATCAGACCGCAGGAGCAGAGCTGAGGATGGAAAATAAGGGCACTGGTGTCGAGTGTGGGAGGCGTGCTGATTTGGTGACAGCTGGAGATGAAGCCGGCTGAAGCCACCGAGTCTTTTCTGACTCAATCTGCATCTGCAATGAATCACCAGGCCAGAACAGAGGAACTCACAAAGCATAAGCTGCAGCACATAGTTAGGAAATACACAAAAGGACCTAAACTAGTTAAACATACGAGAGGTTTCTAAAGTTCTGCGTTTGTGGGGCTTTCAGGTTGACCGCAGAGCTCTGCACTAAGTTGAACTGACATCCTGTGTTTAAAAGACTCAGACAAAGCCAGCAGAGTGTGATGGAGTTCACTGGAGTTTCACTACAAAACGGTAAAAACATGAAGCTCAGTTTTATACACACCAATCAGGCTTTATTGTTAGTTTCCCAAAACAAAGCCAGAAGAAGAAACTCACCTTCTTCTTCTGCGTCTGCTCCTTCTCTGAGGCGTTCGATGGCCTTCGCCTCAGCATCTTCTTACACTTTTCTCTCCGGACAAGAAAAGCTGTGGGAAGGCTGCAGAGTTTAATCACCTAACGACGTCTGTCACCGCGCTGCCACGATCCGGAGAGAGGTGAGGAGAAAAGGAAGAGGGCTGAGGTGCACTCTGTTGCAGAAGAGTGAAGTGAACAAGTCAGGAAGTCACATGGGTGCAATGAAACCAAAAAGGCAAACCCTGTTTCTGCTGCTCAGAAGCTCAACAGGGCTACTGGGTTGGTTACACGCATTACTCATGATTGCATGCCATTAGCTTCCGTGAAAAAAGCGAAGTTATTCGCTCAACAGTTCTCAGGCTCCATTATGGCAAGTTCTACACTGCAAAAACACAAAATCCTACCAAGAGTCTTTGTCTAGCTTCTAATGCAAATATACACTTGAAATAAGAGAAAACTACCTTAGAAGTAACTTTTTAGCAAGATAAAGCTTGTTTTAAGACAATAATTCCTGAAAAAGTCCCAGCTCCACTGGCTAGGAGCTAGGACTTTATAGCTCCTAACCATAAACAAAAAAATTTTCTCATGTTTTCAGTGAAATAATGTATCAAAGAACTAGAACTTTTTCATCAATATGAAAGAATTATTTACAAAGAACAAGCTCCAATAACTTGATGAAAAGTTACTTGTAAGTTATTTTTGTCTTATTTCAAGCACACTGAGATATTTGCATTAGAAGCTACAAAAAATTACTTGGTTGGATTTTGTGTTTTTACAGTGATGACAACTTCTGCACTGCAAAAGCATAAAATCTTATCAAGTATTTTTGGTCTAGTCCAAATATTTATCACACTTGAAATAAGAAAAAACTAACACACAAGTAACTTTTTAGCAAGTTATACGAGCTTGTTTAAAGTAAGTAATTACTTAATATTGATGAAAAAGTTGTAGTTTCACTAGTTAAATAATCTGCCAATTGAACTAGCACTTTTTCATCAATATCAAGGAATTGTTGATTTAAAAGAAGCTCTTATGTCTTGTTACCAAAATACTTGTAAGTTGTCTTATTTCAAGTGTGCTGAGATATTTGCATTAGAAAGTACAGCAAAGTGTTTTGAAATGTGAAAAGATTTAAAGAATTTTTTCCAAATGCAAGTTGCTCAAAATCTAATAACTTTGTTCTTGAGGTCATGTATAAGTAAAAAAAAGTCCCTCTTGTTTATTTATACTATTCAGACCACAACAACAGTTTTACAGCTTTACGGTCAACATTTCAAAATGTATTCATAGTGTGGAAGTGAAAGATGATCAAGGATGACATATTTGGATATTGCAACGACTCTGCAGCTGCCAAACACCAGGACAATCGCTGCAGCAAATGTTCATGCAGCTAATAACTCATGAGATAAATTTGATGCAACGTTAGTCACAAGTTCCAGAAGAGACGGCCGTTGGACAAAAATACAGGAGTGACTCAGAAAAATGTCTGCATTTTTTTAAAAACATAGTCAGGCTGCAGGACAGGGAGGCAAAAGCACGATCTGGCAGTGAGTGCAGAGAAGGAAGTTCAGGCAACTTCAGCTTGTTATTTCAGTGGTGTGAAAACCACATGAGACGAAGATGCCCTGTTTGAGTTTCCTGTCATTTGACTGCAGGTTGGCAGCCAAACTCATCTGTCTTTATGATCACAAAAGTATGAAAACAACAACCAGCAGCTGAGCAGCGGTACAGTGATAAATTCACAATGTGCAACCTCAAAGCAATGACAGATTAAATGTAATGCAGACAAAAATGTCTTGTTATGAAAAATTACTCAATATATAAGATGTAAAAGTATTTAAACATAAATTATTAATAAATGCAGTAAATGTTTGTCCACTGGTTGTGCTGTGGAACAATATTTCCTCAAACGCTGTGACCTCATTTTGTTTATAATCCAGATGTAAACAATGATGCAGCTACAAGTCAACTTGTTACACCTGAGTGCACTGCAAAAAAACAAACTCCTCCCAAGTGTTGTAGTGTAATTTCTAGCACAAATATCTTAGTACACTTAAAATAAGACAAAACTAGCTTACAGGTATGTTACCTGTAAGACATGTTTTAAGTAAATTATTCCTTAATATTGATCTGTGAAATCTGCTAGTTCCACCAGCAAATTTTTGCATTTATAAAAAGACACTTTTCCAAGTTACAGGTGAAACAATCTGCTGGTGGAACTAATAGTTTTTCATCAATATCAAGGAATTTTTGACATAAAACAAGCTGTTATTATTTTCAAGATAGTGGCTCGTATTTCTGACAGTAGGCAGACAGGAAAGAGGGCGAGGAGAGGGGGCAAAGGTCGCCGGGACCGGGAGTCGAACCCTCGACGTCCGCGTCGAGGACCAAGGCCTCCAAACCGAAACTGTGACATTTAGAAATAAATGAGTATCATGGTGAAAATGTGACTTAGAAAAATTAACTTCTATTTTTAATGTTTTTTGTCTTACGAGAGGCTAATTATCCTAAATTATTGCTGTTAATTTTCGACTGTGGCACCAAATATAAAGCACTGTTTGGTTCATTTAGAAATTCAACCTCGACAGGTTTTAATCTCCTTCTATCATTTTTCCTAGAGCATAAATGTGTATTTGGATTTTAACAATAAGTGTGAGTTTGGTATGCCTCCACGAAGACCAGTTACAAATGTTATTTCAACTTTTACAGAGGACCTATGGTAAATGGACACAAGACAAATGCATGATCAGAAGAATCTTTTATTTATAGAAAAGAATCATCTCATGCTAGTAGTTCCTTTTTTCCTCCTTTGCAAATATTGGAAAAAATAGAAAATGCATAAGCAACCTCTTTTAAGAGCCATCCACAGCAGTTTCAAAGGTTTTTAGTCACACAGTGTGTTAAGGCAGGGTGGAAGGTGTTGCATGACAAGTTCCAGGAAATGAGACGAATAGAGCTTTGCAAGCTAAAGGCATAACAATTAAATTTGAAGACACATACCGTGAACCAAAAATCAACTCATTGATGCCAGAAATAAAAAATCTGAAAGCAAAATGTAATTTCTGTAGGCTGAAACATATTGAAACAAAAGCTGTGTACAATGTGGTCAGCTGAAAAAGAGGATTTTGTGGCATTTAAAGGAAATGAAAAAGCTTGGGGAAAGGAACTTATTTCCTTTTCTTATAAATAGTCAGGGGTGACTTATCAAGCACATTCTGATAAACCCTAATACTTATGATTAGGCTACATTTAAATCAGAGATTAGACATTACAATATTTTTTTGAAGGCAATTTAATTATGACCAGGAAATCTCATACTGAACATTTAGCAAAAATCAAGTTGTTAACTTTCCAGACATAAATTGTTGTTGATTCTTGATTTTAGCAGCAAGTATTACTGACACAAAACAGCAGCAAAAAACAAAATGGTGGATGAAGTTAAAGATTAACGGCACAGAGGGCTTCTCACCTGAAAGAAATGGAGCTGATATCCAAAGATTGAATGTCAAGATACCAGTCGAATCATCCAAAATGTACTGGTACCATTAACGTTTGATGCACCCCGTTTTTACCAACAAAACAGCAGCTGAGCTACTTTTGTTCCACGAGATTCGGCCATCAATAAAGTCAATGTTTAAAGGGATTTAAATGATGTTTAAATGATGTATAAACTCCTCATGTCAACAAACACGTAGGCTAACTGCCCGTCTTAGCTAGCAGAAAAAAGCTACATTAGCTTTGCTAATTCTGCTAGATTGGCAGTAAGTACTACTGTAAATATCACTGATATTTATCTTAGTAGGTGGGTAGAGTACTCAAAAATTGTAATCGATTAATAGTTGTGATGCACTTATTATATTTATATTATTTATAAGTTCGACAGAAACTAAGCTAAAGCTAGTTCTCAGCTTGGCTTGTTTGTTGTTGCAATAGCAACTCCATTGCAATGGGAAGTGCAACGTCACATGAGAACAATCAGCAACAATCAGCAACAACTTCATCAGTCGTCATTGTTTCAAAGTGTGACACTTTATTACAATATACATGATATTAGTTGGTCATACAAATGCCCAGTTCAAAACCTCAAACTATAACATCAAAAAAGAAAATCACAAAATATCATTTAAGTATTAAAAAACACACACAAAAAATCCTATATTTGCTCACGTATTTTAAATTATTAAATATATCTTACAATTTTAAATTAAAAAATTATAATTTTTTGTGCATCTGTCAACCTGGTGTAGCTGCTCGGTAGAGACTGCATAGGGGTAACTTTTGAGTGCAAGTCTGCTGAGGAGTGCGGCGGGAGGAGACGCTCAGATGATGTTGTGCAGAGCAAAAACCAGAGCGATGAGAGTCAGGGAGGAGGAACAGATGGAGGCGGAGGATCCAGCCTCGGTGAAAGGCTGGGTGTCTCAGCATCCAGTCCTTCTCCTCCTGCAGCCCCTGCTCGTCCAGCTCAGAGCCCACCAGCAGACGAATCATCTCATAGTAATTATTCAGCCACAGCAGCTGGAGATGGAAATACACACATAGATTATTAAAGGTGTTTTCACCGATAGTCTGATGGACTCGGTTTAATTGGAACCAAAACTGCAACATTTGCCACATTTTCAGCTGATGCAGTTTGCTTTCGCACTGCACTGCATCAAATCTTTTGAAAAACCTGTTCCCCTCCTCACCTGTGATGGTGCTGCACCAAAAACTACTGAATGAAACAACATGACACTGAGCGAAACTTCCTTCTTCACAAAATGTAAACAAAAGTGAAGCGGCGTCAGATTTTACTGGTTGTAAGGTTTCTCCTATCTTTGGTAAAAGACCAAGAGACATTTTTCCTGCTAATGCTGGACTCTTGAGTTTGTTTTGGTTGTATTAACCCAGAATGCCCTGCTGCAACACCTGCCTGGAGAGGGTTAAAAATATATTTAAAAAAACTAAAAGATGGGATTTAAGATACCTTATATATCTGTAAAAACATAAATCAATTAAAACAATACATTGAAATATCTTTGAAAGAAAAGAAACAAAAACATAGAAGTTTGCTTCACACGTGGTTTTGTTTTCTTTTGTGTTGTTTTGATCTCAGAGCTGCAGAGACGCTTCAACCACAAGAGTGAGAGGGGATTTTAAGAGGAAGCTAGAACCAATGCTGCAGGAAGGGGAAAGACAGGGTCTGTGTCACACTATCGAACGTCCCAGAGGTATTTACAACTTAAAACAGGAAACTGATGGAAGATCGTTATAGTTCATGAATCTGCATCTGCCTAGTGTTTTGTAATTCAGAGATCGCTTCTGCAAAAGATTCCTCACCTGCTTTGCACTGAGGAGCGAAGTGTCGATGAGTTTTCTGTCATATGGCACCAGAGAGACAGTGTCAAATGTCAGGAAGTTATGGCCAAACTGAGAGACAGAAAGGTCTGTTAGTGGTAAAGTAACTATGAGAAACATTTTACCACTGATAGGCTACAGCTTTCTGTTTGGTCTCTACCTTCGTAGGAACCGGAACGGTCACAGCGATGTCTTCAATCCGAATGCCAAAGTCATTCTCTTTGTAATATCCAGGTTCTGCAACCAAAAGGAAACAGAAATAGAAATATATACATATTTAAAAAAGCGTTTAATCACCTAGAGCCATTTTCTGGCTTTGCATTTCAGTGATTCTGCAAAAGCACAAAATTTTACCAACTAATTTTTGTTTAGTTTCTTGTCCAAATATCTTACAACACTTGAAATAAGTCCAAATAACTTTTCAACAAGAAACACAAGATTATTTTATGTCATTAATTCCTTAAATGTATGAAAAAGTAAGAGTTCCACTGGCAGATTATTTTAACTTGCAACTTCAAAAATATCTTGTTTCTAAGTATATTGATCTTCTGGTGGAACTAGTACTTTTTAAATTAATATTAAGGAATTATTGACTTTAAAGAAGCTCCAATATCTTGCTGAAAAGTCACTTTTAGGTTAGTTTTGTCTTATTTCAAGTGAACTAAGATATTTGCACTAAAAACCAGACAAAAATACTTGGTTAGATTTTGTGTTTTTTCAGTGTATGTGCAAATTTGTTTATTCATCAGCCATCGAGTTTTGTACATAATCAGATTATCTTTGGCAATAAAATGTTACTTAAGCCTCCCTCATTTCAGACATGTTTATAGTTCATTAAATGATTTTAATTAAGTTTATTGGAGTCCACAAACTGATTCTGCGTAATCCTGAGAGGTTGATGAATTCACAAAGAGCTCACCGATAGATGTGAACATGCCAGCTTTAAAGGGAATGTTGTTGCTCTGAAATCCAACCGGCCCTGAAAACACGTCAGAATAAAACAGAAAATATTACACAAAGCAGGAAAAACAGTGGAAGCAAACCTACAAACATATCTACAAACACTTTAATTCTGTTTCCTTATGATTAACCAGAACCTGAATATGATTTTTTGAACATATATTTTTCTGCAGTCTGAATAAATTGTTTCTCAAAGGAGTGACTGAAATAGGACAGAAAAAAAAAACACTCCTTCTGCAAAGACTCTACTTGGAGGAGTTTTAGGGTTTCTTTGCTGCTTAGTTTTTCTCCACCTCTACATGTTTTTTCCACCTAATCGCTACATTTTTATTTACTCTGGTTATCTTTGTATTACAGAATCATTTATTTATTATATTTACCAGGAACAAATGAAGCAAAAGCAGAGGAAATCTCTGGGACTGGGGTGGTAAATACTTTGTCACAGCGCTTTAATATTCTCCTTTGTTGCCGACACACTGTGGCTTATTTACTTCAGCTGATGTGGGCATCGAGTGACATAAACCACATCACAAGTGGTTGAATTGCAAAATGAAATGTTTGTTCACACGCGTCCGATGTTTGCCAGGTTTTGTAATGCCCCAGTTATTCAACTTATTGAAAACTCTCCTAGATTTGGTAATCAAATTAGATACATTTAAATATATATTAGTGTTTCTGTGGCAGCAAGTATTTAAAGGGAACCTATTCAGATGTTTTTGTGCTTCCATTTGGGTTTCTACTGCTTCGAAGAACAGGCCAAGGGATAAAAAAAAGAAAACTTATTAACTTATTGCCTTTTTAGGGCAATAAGTATGCCCTATGCGCTTCGTATGTGAAGAGTTTTCTTGTTGACTTCCCATCCAGAAACCACTTTCTGAATTCTTGTTCAATTCAAATAAAATTCAGAAATATTTTATTGCTCCCACAGGGAAAATAAATGATGTTGTAACTCATTAACTCAAACTCTTCAAAGAGTCAGCGTACGTAGTGATGGCTGTTGGCAGGAAAGATCTCTTGTAGTGGTCTGTAATACAGACCACAATACAGACCGCTCTGTATTACAAGCGGTCTGTATTACAGACCACTACAAGCAAACTAAGAGAAAACTAAGACCTCATTATCAGAATGATTTTCTGCAAAAAATGTCATAACAGTGCTTGTATTGCCTTTAGAAAACCTTACACTCATGAACTCCAAAGTAGTTCCCCACTCCGTGACCGGTGCCGTGGCCGTAGTTCAGGCCCACCTCCCACAGAGCCCGGCGGCCCAGCATCTCTATGCGCACCCCTGTGGAGACACAGAAGGCCTTTGACTGATCAGAAACAGGAGTGCAATCTTCTCAACAGGACATGAGGAAGAGAGCCCTCTAGTGGTGACATAAGAACACATTTCAGGGACCGGGAAGAGTAAATCCAACTCAAAATGTGCTCCAGAGTTTCCCACTCACCGCTTGTCCCTGATGGAAAAACAGTTTGAGATATTTCAATGTTTCCCATGAGAACTCGAGTGAACGCCTCCTGCAGAGGAAAAACAGTTTTCAAACACAAAGACAAAAAATTACACTGGACCTACTTTATTCATTTGTGTGGAAACTGTTGACAAATTTGAACTTAGTTAACTTAACTAGAGTAACATTAGTTGAATTAAAAATGTTAGTGTTCAGAGTGAGATAATTCGTACATTATGAGTGAAAATAATGCTAAATAAGTTCACTGAATGTACGCATTAGACAAGCTGACAAAAGTATCGCTAGTTCATTTAGCTTCTCTTTTAGCTGTCAATCTGAGGTGAATCATTAATTTCATTTTAGTTAAACATAACGTCATAAGGTCATAAACTCACATTATTACCATTTTTGCTTTCAACTAATAAAGTACAATTATGTGCACTGCAAAAGCACAAAATCTTACAAAGTAATTTTTGTCTGGTTTCTAATGCAAAGAGCTCAGTGAAGATGAAGACAAATATAACTTATAAGTAACTCTTTAGTAAGATATAGGAGCATATTTTAAGTCAATAACTCTTCAATATTGGTTTATAAGTACTAGTTCCACTGTCAGATTATTTCACTTATAACAAGGGACAAAATGTCTTGTTATAAGTGAAATAATCTGCCAGTGGATCTAATCCTTTTTCATCAATATTAAATATTTACTTACTGAAAATAATAATTACATTAAGTCAGTTATGCAAATGAAATGAGTATCTAATCTTCTTAATTTTGTAGAGTAACATGGAACTCATTGAAAGAATATGTCGAGTCAGTGATTCATTTTTTGAGTGCAATAAGAGGCTGTTTAATGTAAATGTCACCTTCTGCATATCTGTGGGCGTCCCCCAGTGAACCGTGCGGGTGATGTCAGTGGTCCCGTCTCTGAGAGTAGTGAGAAACGCCGTGACTCATTTTTGCTCACGAGACGTGAAGTGAAACTGGAGGAGAACGGATTTACTCACAGATACTGACCGCCGGAGTCAACCAAGAACATCTCATCAACCGTCAGCCTTCTGCTGGTTTCTTCTGACGGACTGAAAAAAAACAAATACAGGAAGTGATACTGGTGAAATAGTGTTTACTGTTAAAATACAACAGAAATGTTTTTAAAGCTGTTTTTAATAAGAAAGGAAAATACATCAGGCGTTGCTGATTTCTCTAGAAATCAGTTCTGAAAGTTTAAACTAAGAAATTTTCTTTTTAATTGGTTTTAGACATCAGAGCAGTTGGTGGTTGTTTGTCCGTTACACTTTCAGGTGGTTTAATAAAAAAGGTAAATTTAGCTGCGAGACGAATGTTTGACTTTATACCTGTGACAAGCTGCATATGGTGAAGTTGCTCAAACAACATAAAGCCTCATAAAAACTTTGAGCATTTTAAGAAGAAAGGCCTCATTAAAAATGAAAACATCAGAAAGAAGACGGCGTCTCACCTGTAGTGGGCAAGAGCAGCGTTTGGGCCGCTTGCAGAGATCGTCTCAAAGCTCGGGCCTCTGTTGTCCTTCTGTTTGCTGCAACGTTGATATTAGCTGTGACTCCAAAGTACTTTTATAAATACTTTATTAATACTACAGAGTAAAGTTGTGCATTCACACTTGTTACAAGGCAATTATGCACAAACATGTAAGAATACTACCTTCTTTGCCATTAAATCAGACTGAACTTTTCTGTTTTGGTTAAAAACATTTTATATCTGCTTGTTAAATCACAGAATAATGAGAAAGCTTTTCATATACAATACTTTGTTATTGAGCAAAAGGAAATAATCATGGACACCCTGACTAACCTCCATGGTTCCTCATTCTATGAGCTAAAGGACAAATTGATCACTTTTACTCACTTCCTTTCTTCTCCAACTTGTATTATTTGCTGTTATTTCAGCTCTTGGCTTTATGTTTCATCTAATTATTATTTTCATCTCCATATAAACTACATATAATCTGGCATTCAGTTTGGCTGTGGTGGTTTTGTGAAGATAGAAAGTACTAATGATTGATAAGTAGGATCAATACAAATGTCTGTGATTAAAAGGTGATCTATCGGCTGGTTTTAAGCTGTTGAGCTGTTTTGAGAAGCAGTTCAGACTCAAATGGAAGTAAAAATCGAGCTAATTGCAAATTTTCCATCATAGTTTTTCTTTAACGTGAAACATCTTTGCATAAAGTGAAATAAAAACATTTCCTGTGGATTGGAGCTACATAAATAAACGAAACTTAACCTGGACTGAATTGAAAAGTTAATGTTGGTTTAGGCTAACAGTCTTCTTCTGCAAACATCTGGTTGTAACTCAGTTTGTTGACTCACCTGCGACAGTGATTTACATATTCTGCAGCTCTCAGCTCCGTCACGTTCCCTTCTGGGACGACCTTTTCCAGCCACATCAGCAACTGGATGACTGCAACCGCATCCCTCACCTGAACAAAGTGAAAGTTTGGGTCTGTTTTTTTTTTAGGTGGTAAATTTGAATCTGCCTGTGATTGGGACGTACATGAGCTTCCCTCAGTATTCGTTCCTCGGTCTCGTCTTTCACAGCTTTAGTTGTCAGCACAGGAGAATAGGAGGATGTAATTAGTTTGTCCTATATTAGACAAACAAACAGTCATTAATTTAAATTATTTATTACAAATGAGCTGCACTTTTTGAAATGATCAGCATACCTGAGGTGTTATGAGCTCATAAAGAGCATAGTTTGTGTATTCTGTACCAATCCACACTTTAACGTCAGACTGAGCGACGTAGGTCATCAGATTTTCACGAACAGAGTCGTAACTTTTCAGCTGCACGCAGAGGGAACCGGTGCAGGACGCACTGAGATAGGCCTTCAGCTCCTCAGTCACTCTGTTTGTGTGGACGAACAGCCTGCAGCAGGACAAACAGCAACATGCTCACATGCAGGACAGCAGGGCGTTTTGTTGGGTTTCTGGTGGAACACTTGAAAAATATGCATGTCATTGGAAATGTCGTGCATGCAGACAACGGTGAAGGGCAAAAACAGCTTTATGTTTTTAGTCTTGATGTTTATTTTGTGATTTTTCATAAGTGATCACTGTAGTAGACTAGCTACTGCAGCTATAGCTAATATAACACAGCTGTGATTGATTGGCTAATTTAAACTCAATCTAATGATGAGCTGTCCGAGTCGGTCGCCTTTTTTAACCAAAACACTCAATCCCGCTGCACATCTACATGTTAATGTTGTCAAAGTCAAGCTAGCATAACTGAAGTAGCATAGCTGCTATTTTTAATTAAAATTTTATTTCTCTGTGGGAGTGTTGAGCACTAGTAGTAAAGCAGTGTGTCTCTTTTACTTTTACATATCAGGCGTATATTTTAGATTTAGCGTGTTAAGTTGATAACTCCACGGTTCAAACCAATGCTAGTCATGGCCTATAGCAGGAAGCTGGGGCTGGGATCTCGTGACATAATGCTGCAATGTGTCAATAAATAATTAGTTGATCAATAAATAGACATAAACAGTGAATGACTGACCAGATCTCATCTAAAGTTAGAAGTGTGTAGGAGTAGAAGAAAGGATTGTAGGGAATGTCGTTTCCACGTAAATTAAAGAGCCCTGAAAAATAAAAACAAACATCATCATTGACTTTAATTTCTTTCCAAACTGTTTCTATGATTTATTAGTTTGACAAAGCACCAGATTTTCCTCACATGCTGTTTCATCCAGAGCTGAGAGCAGAAGAGCTGTGGGTTGGTATGGATTTGTCGTCATCAGACTCCGTATCTGCTCCACCTTATCCTGCCACGTCCTTTCTGAGAGGTCAAACATTTCACTTTAAAGGAGCAGTACTGTGTTTTTCAGCCATTTTATACCACAATCAAGTTACTGTTATCTTCAGTTGTTATGTCACTTAGAAGAAATTAGAATTTGTTGCTTAGCGCCTTGAAATTGGACCAGTCAAAGTCTAAACCTAAATCAAACCAAGAATCTTTGGTAATATTTCAAATTAATGGATACAAAAAAAGTTTTATTGAGTTATCCAAAGTGAAATTCTGCAGCTGGTGGAGAAATCCAACATAAGATGTATATATAATTTTATTTGAAAAAGTGGTGTTTTATTTTATCATTAGTTAAAAAATAAATAAAGTTTTGGGAGAAAAGAAGCCACTGCTAAAGATGAAGAAAACTGGTTCAGTTGGGTCAACTTTTTTAGTTGAATCAATCTAAATACATTTTCCTGTAAATGTAGTTTATCTTCTGAGAATAAAAACACATTTGTGTGTTTTTGTTCCTTCCTGCTTGTTTGACATTCAAGTCATCTTCTTGTTCTTCATTAGTTAATGGGCTCCATCCAGTCTGCCAAGAATATAAGAGCCAGCTTTCTTATCCTGTCTGTCAGGATAAGAAAGAGCATGCATCATTATGTGCATGCTCTTAAAGCCATGCACAGAATGATTTTTCCAGTTAAATGTACAGACCATTAGGTTTATGGTGCCCTCCATTTGGTCCATTTTTCTAATCCGCAGCCATAAAGTCTAATAAGACCAACACTGAGACAACTTCCTGGCTTCTCTAGTCCTTCTGAGTTAGTATTCGATCTGCCAGCCAACCGTAGAATACACAAACACAGTCTTTATGGTTGTTTGAGGACTTACGTATGACCCTATCAGGCAGACGGGTGAGACTCTCTGCTGGGATTTGAGGTCTGTCTTTCCACACCTGGTCAACCAGGTTGACAGGAATGGACTTTAGGATTCGATTGCTGGACTCCAGACTCATGGCGTAGTTCTCTTGAGTCTCTAATGGAGCAAATTGCAGGAAAATACGGCCATTAAACACAATCAATCTCAAGTAAACAGTCCGAATGGCGTCGGGTCTGGGGTCCCTTTCAATATGTTCTATCAACTTGGTGCTTTATTGATGTTAAAATGGACTAACAGGTGAGGTAAGTAGGGTGAAAACTCACTGAGGGAGAAGAGGAAGGGATCAAAACCGATGTTGCCTCCTGCTGGTACCTCTGAGATGAGCCACTCCGCCACACTGATGATGGAAACTGAAACAACAAAGCAAACGTTTATCACTGACATCACAAAATATGGACAAAAACAGATATATATATATATGTAAACCTGTGAAATTCATGAGCCTTATCCTCTAGAAAAACTATGAAACGATGAAATATTTGCTCTTGGGTAAAATGTGGAAAAAGCAATGTTGCATGAGAAAACAAGCTTTGTTAATGGGAGCGTTTTCATTATAAAACCCTCATAATGACATGTTGAATCCTTGAAAGACTATTTTTGAAAAGATAAATTAAAACACACCACAACAATTTAAAACGAATGCATGTGTGCAGCCCTGCCATCAGGGCGGTGCAGTCACCCGTACCATCTTTCTGCAGCTCCCAGTTGCAGTCCATCTGTCTCTCAGCTTGGACCCAGTAGCGGCTGTCTGTCCACAGAGCCGCCTTGGTCTGAGTGACAACAGCAGTGCCTGGAAAAATGTGGGACAACAGCTGCACTATGAGGTGGTCGGTGTTTGATTACCTAAAACTATAAATATCAAACTTCATACTGTATGTGAAAAACCATCCTTGAGCTCTTTAAATGCAAGTTGCAAGGTCCCAGATGTTCTTGAAGTGGCATTAATTATCCTTCCTTTCATCCAAAATTGTTCAAGACAGTTCACTTTTGTGTCAAACACGACATCAAGGTACTTGAACTGTTCTGCCTGCAGTTTTCTGGTCTTTAGAGGTGACAGATGAAGCCTTTGGGCATCACAACACATGTTCATCACATTTTGGCTGGCCATGCCCCTCCTTCAACATTTACACTCGCATGTGAATATGGCTGAAAACAGATGCGCAATTATAAAACCATATATCTTTGAAAAGCATCAGTAAAGCCTCCTGCATAAGAAGCAAGAATGCAGCAAGTGGTTTCTGAATGGTAAGTCAATAACAAAACTCTTGTTTTTTTCTGCAGCCATTGTGCAGCACATACAGCGGTTAAACCAGCTGACCAAATGTGTTAGAATTCAGCTTGTGTTGCTAGGTAACAACGCAGTGCCCACTGATTATGACTCAACAATGGGGAGGCTTTTGAACAGCTTGTTTTCTAGATACAATAAAACAGCTGGGTGGTGTTTTTAAGTCCTTGAGCTGTTTTTAGAAGTAGCAGAACAAAAACATGCAAAATATGAACTTTACATAATAGGTTTCCTTTAAATCTTTGGGATTTTGCAAGGGATTAGCGAAAGTAATGGGAAAACTGTTCTTGTAACAGGCTGCAAGTCTAAATTGATGTGCAGAGATGACAGTGGTTCAATTACTTTTTCATGCCGTATTGATGGATGTTACATGGCTCAGGAAAGAAACTAATTGGAAATGGTCAGAAAACATAAGTGGAAAAAAAGAGTCAGAGCTCATAGAAAAACTCTAAAGAAAATATAACTTTTTAAATATGTGCCCTGAAAAACAGAAAGGAAGTGTGGCATTTATTCTCCAACTTTGTAAAGTAGATCTTACTAATACCAGGTTGGATCCACAGTTTGCATTAAATATTTTAGAAAATGTTGGAAACATTTATCCGAGTTTACATGACAGCTTCATAAAGTTGTTGCAGGATTGATTATCGTAAATCCACAACTCAAACCCCCTGTTTCACCACAGGTTGAACTCTGAACTTGTGGTGAAACGCCAAGCGCTCAGAAGCAGGAAGTGGACTACAGCGCAGGGCATTCTGGGTAAATACAACCAAAACAAATGAGCTAGAAGAAGAACTAGCTTCTGGTCAAAATAGAAATCCTACAACTGATCAATCCTGACGCTACTTTTTGTTCACATTTTATGAAGAAGGAAGTTGCACTGAGTGCCTTCTTGTGAGGGTTTGTGTTGTTTCTTTAGTCGTTCTTGGTGCAGCGCCACCTCAGGTGAGGAGGGGAACAGGTTTTTCCAAGGGTTTAATTTGTTTGACAGCGCAGAGGTGGGTAGAGGACCCAAAAATTGTACTCAAGTAAGAGTAGCACTACTTACACATTAATTTACTCAAGTAAAGGTGAAAAGTTACTGTCCAAGAAATTACTTAAGTGAGACTAAAAAAGTCTTTGATCAAAACACCAACCATTTAAAATTATGTGGAAATTTAAAATATTTTAGGAACCAAAACAAACATAACTCAAATGAGTAAAAAAAAAAAAATCAGGCAAGAGATTTTTTTATTCCAGTTTCTTTCAATAAAAAACTGTAGGTGTGTGGTGAATTTTTGGTTGAAACATGTTTGTTTTTCTTTCAGTGGAGATTCCAGAAATTTTACTCAGGTAAAAGTAGCAATACTTTATAATAAAATTCCTTAAGTCAAAGTAAAAAGCACAGGGCAGTAAAAATACTCCTAGAAGTAAATTTGATTGATTAAATGTAACTAGTTATGCGACAGACTGGCGACCTGTCCAGGGTGACCCCGCCTCTCGCCCGGAACGCAGCTGGAGAGGCACAGCACCTCCCGACCCCGTTAGGGTGAAGGGTGCTCAGAAAATGGATGAAATGTAACTAGTTACTACCCAACTCTGCAAACAACACCAGCAAAAACTGTGACACATGTTGTATTTTTGATCCAAATTGAACTCTAAGCCCCAGAACATTACAAAAACCCTGACACACAGAGAAATAAAAACATGCTTGTTGTTTATGCCAAATTTTGACTCTGCCATCTGACAGCTGCAACAAAAACCAAAGCTCAATAAAACAGGCAACGTTTTTACAAACTACAGTTTCAACTGGCCTCAAGTTTCCTTTCTAACTAACTTTGAGCTCATTCTCCTTTGACATTTAATGTCAACAAGGCATTTTTTGTCCAAATACCCACCTCTCACCAGATATTTTCTCTGGTTCAGATATTTTTCTGTACATCTGAGGGATGGTTGTGCTTTAAATTACCCTGCTATTACATCAGCAGATTGTGACATACTCAACCAAGCCCATCTGGCAACAACAACCAGGCTGCAATTTGTGATAAAAAGCAACAGAACAGATGTACTAAATAAAATGGTGAGATCATATTTAATGTGGTACCAACAGCTGAGTAAACCACTGAAATAGATTCATTTTCCACACATTTTGTGCAGCTTTGCAGCAGCGTGTTCAGGTATAAAACCTCAAATTTACGCTTGGACTGAAACGATTAATTGAATTAATTAAAATTTATTGATTATTTAAATAATTGTCAACTGATTTAGTAATTAATGGTTAACTCAAATCAAAAAGGCCACTTACTGAGTGAACAACATATATTCAGAGAAGTAATTAAGCCAAAACTGTACAAAAATATCACCATTTTACATTTAGGTTAAAAAATAATATCTCTCTCTGTAAATGTCCTCAACCCAGAAGACCTGAAGTGGCAGGTTTAGCTTCACCTGGTTAAAAAATCTTAAAAAGCATATCTAATTATTAATCAATTAATCTGAACAATAATCACCACATCAGCCCTTCACTGTGTTGATGTGAAGCAGAAAGCTGTTGATGCATCCTTTGCTACAAATGATAAGCATTCACTAAAGAAAAGCTGTTATTGTATTTTAAAATGTTTATTTACTTATTTAAAAATGTAATCAGGTGAGTTATTTATTTACATGTGTATGAAAAATATACGCATGCAAATAATTTTTTCATTTGACTAATCAATTAATTGTGAAAATAATCGATTGATTGATTACTGCTATAATTGTTACTTTTACTAATTGGATTTCCATATAAATCCAATTAGTAAAAGCCTTTTCTGTGACCAGCCTGATACATCAGCAGGCAGGTTACTCTGCGAGGACAGTCACCATGAATGAGAGGATGCAATTAAACAGCGGGTGAAAGCGCTGAAAACAAAATGAACGACGAGTTGGTGAGGATGTGGGATGAAAGCAGAGGAGCTCGGATGAGGAGGAGGATGAAGAGGACGAGGAGGAGGAAGATTGTACCTGCAGAGCCTGTAAAACCAGTCATAAAGGCCATCCTGGCGTCACGTGGGGCGATGTATTCACTCTGACAGAATGAACCAAAAAACAAGCTGCAAATTAAAACCACACAAAAGCAAACAAGGACTTTAAACCCATGTGGATTAATTATGACAGGCGGCAGATGTACCAGGTGAGCATCAGTGCCAGGAATGATGTAGGCAGAGACGTTCAGGGGCAGCATTTGGGCTCGCAGCTCCTGCAGCTGGATAGAAGTATTTACTGCTGTGCTGGGGAGATACTGCAACAAACAGACAGGAAGAACGATGAGGTGCTCACAAAGCAAAAGAAAATCTTCACATTTCATTAAACCCAGCAAGCTGCTGAATTATCTCCTTCTCTATCATCTTCTGTAATCATTAACGCTGGGTGAATCCACTGAGGGCAAAGTTGTAACTGTTTTATGGAAAACTGTAGTTTGTTGTTTACTGCTGAGTCTCACCGGTGGAGTCAGAGAGCAGTTCCTCTCGGTTCGTTCATATGCAGCAGCGCAGAAACCTGAAAACATATGAAAACAGAGCAAAAAGAAGATTACAGATCCTGACTCAAAAGCAGCTCTAAACAATTAGATCAGCATTGACCGAAAGGTTCTCAGTGTTTCAGCTGTTTGACAGTTTTCTGGAAGTTTGTTCCAGATTTCTGGTGCAGAGGTTTGTGTCTGTGCAGGTAACGAGTCAAAGCTGAAGATTTATGAGCACAAAAAGTCAGAATAAATGGAAATCAGAGCACAGTTCTGCAACAACAAACAAGTTTTCTCTTATCTATTTGTTCAAATGTAGCGGCTCTGAAAGACAAACTGCAAGATTATGAAGACGGAGAAAAAAGACAGGAAAAGTTACAAATGTTGTAGCTTACTCTGCTGAATTGTGTTTTTTAAACATCTCCATCAGTCAAGCAGATTTCAGAAACAATGAGCTCTTTACATCATAAATACACAAAATAAAAAGTTACCAATTGAGAAACCAGTAATAAACAGTACGTTTTGTCGAATTTCATAATCAAAATCATCAAAACACATAAAAAATATCTGTAAATGTTCCATGATTATGGCTATAAAGCAACTCTAAACAAATAGGTTTTCAGCATTGATTTAAAGGAAGTCTGTGTTTCAGCTGTTTTGCAGTTTTCTGGAAGTTTGTTTCAGACTTATGGTGCATAGAGGTTTGCATCTGTGCAAGATTGATTTCTCTTTATCTGACTTTTTGTGCTCATAAGAGTCCAATTCTGGAAGACAACTCAAAGGTTTTCTGTTATCTATTTGTTCATATGCAGAAATGACAAACTGCAGGAACATGAAGACGGAGTAAAAATTTTCTAACATATTTCTTTGAAACGTTTCTCATCAATCAGTCAGAATCAAGGGAAATCAAACTGCAATTCTACAAGACAGCTCAGCATTTTTCTAAAACTGTAAACCTGTTTTGTTAGCTCGAACGTTACAGCAGCAGCAGCAGCAGAAAAGAAGACAAACTCTTTACCGGTCAGTGCGACCACAGAAGCCGCCCACAGCCACGCAGAGGAGGGCATCTTCAGCTGCACACGGCTCTCAGACTGCCGGCCGACCTGATGAGCATGCAGGTTATGTGATGAGGAGCGCCGGCGATGTTGTGAGTAACTGTGTGTGTGTGTGTGTGTGGAGAGCCGCCCTCTCTCTCCCTCCTCCTGCTCCTCCTCTTCCTCACTGCCACTCAATATCTGCTCTCCCTGTGGCCCGTCTTGCAGGACTCATGAGCAGAGAGCGGATTTTAAGAATAACTCTGTGTCACTGTGACCAGTCATCCAGTTTCCCTAGTCAAACATTATTTATTGACACTTAAAATTAGAAACTTACATGCATGAAAATACACAAGGTTTTCTTTTTGGTCAGAGAACCAGAATTATATTTTTTATATTGTCTAAATAACAAGAGAGAGAATTTTAAAATTTCTTCAGAAGAAGAAGTTTTGGTACATTTATTGTGTATTTTCATAAATTAAAATGCTGTTTTAAAAAATAACTGTTTCTGTTTAAGAATTTTTGTTTAAAACAAGTTTGACTTTATTGGCCTTGTTGAACATAAAGTTTGTTCTTCATTCAGTAAAAATGCACACAGAGATTTTAAACTACAGTGTAGTAAAAATGATTAACTTTTTCCAAAACGTTACTAAAGTAAATTACATATTTCAAATGACATATTTTTGGCTAATTGTCTGAATAATAAGAGATAGATTTCATTTAATTTCTTGAAATTAAGAAGTTTACATAAATTTACTCTGCCTTCAAACAATCTGGGAAAAACAAGTAAAATATGATAAATCAACAGTGCAGTTGTAATAGCTTTACATTTGATTTACCATATTTTCTGGACTATAAGTTGTCCTTTTTTATGGTTTTCATACTTTTTTTTCTCTTCATGATGCATTTTGTTGACTGATGCTGTAAATGTTAATTCTTCTTGACAAAAGTTACATAGAGCAAATAAAATCAGAGATCCAAGTAGCTGCAGAGCTTCACCTGCAGGCTGCTGCTCCTGGTTTATTAATGTGGAGCTCCAGATTTACGCTCCTACTGTCCCACATGTGACTGAATCGACCCGATGTTGTTTTTTATGAGGTGGCAACTCTGTGTTGCTCTGAGACTCACCAGCTTTGAAGATTTCTTCAAAACCTGGCAGAGCTATAGACCAGCAAGCTGTTGTCTTCCTGACTGTTTTCTCTGTTAGAAATGAGAAAATCTAATTTAAAAAATTTGAAAAACCTCCAGGTTTGACTTGTTTCTTCTCACAGAGCTATTTTTAGACGTCATGAGACCCAGACACTAAAGTTAGACATCTTATTATGTGGAAAGAGACCAAAACATCTGATTATAATCATCACGCATGCCACACAACTCTACGTTTATAAGGCTTCATCTAATCAGATGCAGCTCAGTTTGGATCTGTTTTAAACCCCCAGAGGAACGAGAGTCAGAGCATTAAGAGAATAAAAGGCCAAGTGGAGTGAGAGACCAGATGGAGTCGGGCCCAAAGGTTTCAGGCAGAACCTTTAAAAAGGAGCGACGGCGGTCCATTAATGTCATCAAAGTCAGCTTTTAGCTCCAGCAAAATGTGACCTTGCTGTGCATCCACTCTGTTGTTTTAGGTTGTTTGTGTGTACAGTGTAACTAGCCCACATATGAAAGCATAAATACGCCACTGGCAAATTCAAAGAAAAGAAACTGGGAAAGTGGGAGGAGACACAGAGGGGCGAGGCCAAGTGTGCAACAGAAAAACACAAAACAACCCTGCAAACAAAACAAAATCAAACAAATAAATCCTGCAATTACAAAAAAAAAAAGCTACAATCACCATAGAAATGCTGGAGGCACATTTAAAACCCTTCAATCACAAAAAGTGCTACAGTCATAATTAAAATGCTGCAATGACAGGAAAAAGGAGCAAAACAGGGAAATGCTGTAAATAGCAAAACCAACAGTAAACTGGCTCCACAACACAGAAATACATTTAAGTGAAATGGAGATTTTTAAAAATTCTTTCTTTATATCAAACAAATCAACAAAACAAAAACACAAAATACAAAGAAAGAATTTACTTAAATTATTAAGACAAAAACAATGCTTTTCATCATAAGAATCTGTCATTTTATCCACCGTATTTGGTCAAAACGGAGAAGATTAATGAGAATAACTGCTGGCGTAGACATGTCTGCAAGTCTGGACCGAACCAGGCGGGATGATAAAGTCCAAATCAAATCGCTGCTCAGTGAGGGACTCAAAAACAAACTGGAGTCTGAGCTGAAGATTGTTATCCTTCGTCCAGAAGCAAAAACAAGTTTAGACTTTTTTCAGATGATTCATTTGCAGAAAGTTTATTGAATTTTATTTGAGTTAATTACTTTAAAAATAAAATGAAAACATCTGCATGGTTTGGTAATCAGAGAATTTGGAGGAGGATTGGTTGAGTTCACCTGATACCAACCTGACCCAGAAACTTTTCCTCCTCCACATCCAGGCAGAACCTGCAGTACCTGCAGTACCTGCAGGCTGGAAAATCCACAAACAAACAAAAAAAACAAAACAAAAAACACAGAGGGGGAAAATCAGACTCTTCCCAAAAACAAGATTGTTTTCTCCTTTTTGCTCTTTCAGTCCTTTTGCTTTTTCAATCTTTCTTTTACTCTTTATTTCTGCCTTTACTCTGTTTCTTTCTCTCTTCCTTCCTTTGTTTCTTTTTCTGTTTTTTTTCACTTGCTTTCTTTCTCTTTTCTGCTTTTCTTTTTTCTCCTCTTGCTGGAGGAGAAATTAACCAGATGCATTTCCACATCCTGCACATTTTTAAACCGAAAACATCCATTATTATCGTTTATAGAGGATTCTTTCAGGTTTGATGTCACTTTGACGTTAACTCAATACTTTAAATATATGCTGCAATAAAATATAAATTTATAGATATAACAAGACAAAATGCTACAAAAACAAAAGGGAGGAGAATAAATACTTTTTAAGGCACTGAATATTTTTACTGGGGTTGTTTTCTGCAAAAATAGAGCAGAAAATTGTTAAAAATATGCAAATATTAGAGATGGTGACAAATGTTAAGAAGCAGTCTTGATAATTCACAGTGAAATGATCTGTATTCTGCTTGTAGCGCTGCCCGGCTGCAGTACTGTAAATAATCCTTTCAAACAGCCTCTTAGTATGAGTCGCTGTGTTGCAGACATTCATCATCAATGCAGCGGTGAACTGCACCTCACAGGCACTTCCTGCTGCAGGAAGACCTTCAGGAGCCGGAAAACCCATGAAAAATCCTCTTCAACTTCAGTGAAAACACTGAAAATAAAAGCAGCTGGAGAATTTTAATTGATTAAATAACTGAGGTGAAACACAGATTAGGAACAGGAAAGCCAGAACTAAATGTGATGGGGGAGTTATTACAAGACAAATGTAAATAAATACAAATTTAACAAACAAAATGAGGATGGTAAATAAACTCACTTAGTACCAAAATATTGAATATTTATGAACAATTGGAGGTAAATCTTTTTCAACCAATGAGACCTTAAGTCTCACTTTTCAAATTCATTCAGTTTTCTCATATTATAAGTTATAATAAAGGATAATAACTAATAAAAAGCAGCTCATGTTTCCTGCTGAGAAGTCAATTAAGTTAATTTTGTCTTATTTCAAGTGTTTTAAGATATTTATTCCAGAAACTAGACCAAAGAAATCCTTGGTAAGATTTTATTTTCAAGAATAATCATTTCCAAAATGTAAAAAACATAACACTGTAATCACAACAATAATAGAAACCTGGTGTGTTTTTGTTTTAGTGGACATCTGGCGTTAACAGGGATTGGAGATGATCGCTTTGAGCTGATAGACAAACGTTTCTCTGTGTCTTTCTCTGCTGCATCGTCTTTTTTTTTATAAGCATCAGAAAAACTCAGACTTTGAACCACGGCAAGAAGAAATGCACCTGTTAATATTTGTCCAAATCTGTCCCTGTACAATGAAAACTCCATATGAGCCAATAAAGTTACACAATTCACTGATAACACGAGAATATGGAAGACAACGAGAAGCAGTAAAAGAGATTACATAATCTAAACACAAAGTTTAAAGTCTCTGATCGTGGCGATTCGATTGTTCATGATGTTTGATAAAACTCAACAATGATACAAAGCTGTGCATTTTTGAAAATAATAAAGTTTAACACAACTCAGCTTTTGCTTTACAGGTTTAGATATGAAGAACGTTTTAGTTGAGTAGAGAGGATTACTGCAAAAGTTTGTTGCTATTGTTATAAACTCGCGATAAGTTGGCATTTACTGTGATTTAGTCTATTAGATCCTCCATTCAGAAAATCTGATTTGACCAAAGACAGCTTGGTAAAATCAGAGTAAAAATCAACTTTCCCTTTAATTTTTATTGCTTTTTATGAGAAAAGCAGCCGATACGTCTTTATTATTGGCACAAACTCTTTGGTTTTATGTGTTTGTGCTGCAGGAGAGAGCTACACTGTAAAAAAGATCAACTCAAAAAGTTAATACATTGTGTAATTTTTGTTCAAATACTCTGCAACTGTGGTTACCAGAGTTTTACTAAAAATGGACATAGTGTAAAATGTTTTCCATATTAATATATTTTTTATGTTTTGGCAGTCATCACTTCAACAGCTCAGAACTGTAAGAAACTGCATCTCAATGTATTTTCTATAGTAATATCATGATTTGGATTTTACGATCTGTAACTGTTGGAACATGACAAAAACTAAGATTTCTCTACATTTTGATGAATAAATGTATGTTTGTTTTTCTTTGTGAAAGAGTGATGGCAGAGTTAACTTAAAAACTTGTAGCAACAATGAACTGTAGCTGTGACATTAGCTTTGGCTGAGGGAAGAAGCTGCATTTGAGCAAAAAGTTTTTAAACTTAAACATTGATGAAAGAAACCACTAAAATAAAAATAGTAAAATTGAGTCATTTAGAAGTAGTCTAATCATGTATTTTGGCCTGTTTGAAATGTGTATGGAGATTTTAGCTGAAAGGAAAGGAAAGCATTTCACAAAGTTGTCAGAACTGTGGGAACAAAATGTATTTAACAATTTAAATATATGAAAAG